ACGCAAAAAAAAATCAAAATGCCCTAACAACATTCATTTTCATTCCTTTATCAATATTATTGTTCTCATTCCATTATCAATATTATCATCATTATAATTATTATAGTCAATACTAATATCATCGCGAATGTTCATTTCAGATCAGAGAAATTGAAGAGAAATGATATTTCAACTTTTTTTTTTCCTGACATTTTTTTCCTTATCGTTATTTCATTCTATACTTAACTCTGAGCATTTTCGCACAAACCCTTGGCAAGCGAAAAATTCAATAACATAATACAACTGTGCTGCTTCATAGTGTTTTAAACGTGAAACACACTTCACACTGTAAGCTACAAAGCATATAACCCCGTGGAACTAAGGAAATTCTTAGGTAAAACCTCTAAAAAAAGCTTAAGAGAATCAGCAAAGGAGAGAGAGAGAGTTACGTCATCCCCGTTTGTAAAGAGCTAGAAAGAAATGGAGTTTTTTCCCAAACTGTTTAGTTCTTCTTATTTTTGTTTTATGTTTTTTTCCTTAAGTTTGTTTAGTACAATTAATTTTCTAAAATGCAGTGGTTATTTCATTTTAAAATTTGTTGATATACTGTAATGTAGTGTATTGCAATATGTTGTTACGTAACGGTACACATTGTAACGTATGATAGTGTAACGCTGAAAATAGAAGAAAAATTAATTCTGTGAGCAATGTTAGTATTGTGACTACTATTCTAACGTTGACAATCAGAGTTAGTAATGTAACAGTATAATCATTGCAAAAAAATTTAAGAATTTAAACGAAATTAAGTATTTGCACAACAAATGCAATGTAAATTTGTCATGAGTTGACAATGAACAAAGGTAACTGTAAGGAAGCTAGATAAAAACTTAGTAAGCCCTCCTTTTGATACTGTTGTTTTTAGAGAGACATAAACACCAGTTTCCATAACAAATATTATTTTTGTTTTTGGTAAAGATCAAATGAAAAAACTAGCTGAAATTATTTACGCTAAGTAAATGAACTTGCACATATAGCTTACCAGAAACTGAAGCTGATGAATGAAGGGCATCGTGTACCAGAAAAAAATTTCATCAGAAGCAAATTCAGTTCCAGACATAAGATTACTGCGTTTTCTTACAGCCTCCAACTTTTCTGGATTATATATAATCCCGGGTGATGATCTAATTGTTTGCCTGTTAAAACTTAATGTGTTTTGTCTGATGATTGCTGCGAAAGTAATTAAAATTTAACAATTCCTTCGTACTCCTGCCAATTTATCATTGTCTTTTAATTTTCAAAACTTAAAACTGCTTTGTAGAGGAACGAAAATCGAAACTTTCTTCACATTAACAGGCACATGAGTTGTACTGGAGATAAGGGTTTTTTAATCGGTGTCTAATCAATCCAGCACCATTTCGAGGGACGAAGGCGGGAATACAACAGTTCCTAATCACAAAATATATTCTTATATCTAACGTTGTATTATTTTATTCAGTATATGATTAAAACTAATGTATAAGCAGTGATTAGATGATTATTTCATCTCTGTTCAATTTTTTTATTATATTTCTTTTGTTTTTGATATTACGAATACATTTTATTCAATCTTCATTTTTCCCTTCTTTTTCACCTTGAATCAGGGCACGGTGCTAAAATGTTAAAACACCGCTTTTTGCAAACGGTTCGGTCTACAAAAATTAATACCAAAAACTATTAAATAAAAGTTTCGTTATTCCTCGAACGTCGCTGGCACCGAAAAAAGTTCAATATGAATAGCCTCCTTGCTTTTTTTTATAGAGCACAAGCCCTTATGGTACACGACAAGAAGTCCACTATAAATCGTAGAACAGTAAGAGGTAAACAAACAAACTGACCGCGATCAAAAATACTATGGTTAAAGATTGATAGCTTTCTGAATTATCTATAAGCTTTCTTGATGACAATGGCACAGCGAAATTTCCAATCTTTGTTTACGATTCTGTTACACAACTGCATCATCAAGGAACACAATTTAGATTCATTCTGAAAGTGATACATATCTTTCAACGTCTAGAAATTTCAATAAATAATTTACTTGTTAAATGACGGTTATTTGATCTAACCGAACCGGTAACCTGTCTGTCCTCGTTAGCTCACAGCACAAAATTTTCCGCTTCTTCATGAGGGACGTTCACTGAGAGGAAATCTCAGCCAAGTAACGATTCAGAAAGGAGCTTTAGCTAAATCCTCGAGACGAACACGGAGAAATCTTTTAAATTTAACCGTGGATACATAGATGGAAAAATAGCTGAATGAAAGCATGAGAGAAAAGAGTGAAATAGATTTTAAAAAAAGTACAAACCTAAAATTGAACAAAATGAATCAGTACATATATATAGATAAATAAATAAATATATAAGAATCGAAATGAGGCGATATCTCAGAAACCTTTCCACTGAGTGCGGTAAAACAGGCTGGAGTGGTGAGACACTTGAAAACCGCAGCATAACTAAAATGGTTAAGCCTTATGGTTAGTTCGACTGAAATACAAGTAGTTCCCGTTTTACTTTAAATTAAATAAATTCAAAGCAAATCTGTATAACTTAAAGGCGATAATTAGCTAGGAAGTAAAACGTAATTTCTGAAAACCGGTGTTACGAGGCATAATTAGGACGGATCTTGAATGAATTGATTATTGAACAGCTCAACCAAGCCCTTGCTTCCTACGCACCTTAAGCTTGCGTTAACCGCTCCCCAATGGAACCTAACGACTTTCCCCGGGATCTCGTGGTTACAAAAGCATTCATTTAGAAAAAATATCTTTTTTTCGTTCGATCCCTCTTGGCATCTATGATAAAAGGCTAGCTTCGATCTTAATCTATAGATTCATGGCCTTTTAAATCCCAACTCTGACTTCACGCTTCAAAACAATCCGATACCGTTGACACCCATCTGAATTCGTTAACGGACTTTGGACAAAAATTTTGGATTAAATGACAGTGGGAATCCATTAAACATTATGATTACCAGGCGACACTGGAAACCAGATTGACATATTATCTCTTGAGTAAACTATAATTTTTCCAAATTCCCCGAATCAATTTGTTTAGGAAACGAGATTTCACAGTATTTCACGTGGCCAATCAGGATAACGGCTTCTTAGCTTAAAAGGCATAACCTTTTACAAATTTTTTAATCTGAAAACTTTGCATCATGCTGCTACCTAGACCTGTTTCGAAGCATTCCTGCCTCTGCGGTAAGTCACAATTACTCCCAAGTTCATCACCTATCTAAAAACACGGGTAATGATGACAACTGAATAAAGGGGGTAAGTTTCTAAAGAAACTGTGGTGCTGCGTCGCTCTGACGAAGGGCTACCGCTCGAAACGTCAGCTTTTTTACTCTTTACGGTGGCCAATTTACGTTTTCAACTCAGTTGTTAACACTAAATTACCTGCAATGATGACAACACTCTTTGGTATGAAAGGGTTAAACAAGCAGGTTTATTTCCGATTCTGCGAGTAATGACGGCTGGGTTAAGCAAAATCGTCGTAATTTTGAAGAAACAGGGAGCTTGGAATAACGCAATACAAACACAACCTGCTGATTTGTTTAACTTCGCTGATGTATGCTTTCTTACTTCAACAGCGAAAAGGTAGTCTTTTTAGATGAGAAAAAAGAATTAAGGCACAGTTTAGAGCAAGGTCAACCAGGTAAAAGCGTTTGTTGTTAGTTCAAGACCCACACAATGCCTTCACTGATAATAATCTAAAAAGGTACCTTGATATTCCGACAGAGGACGAACATGCAAATACCTCGCGATGCAAATAAACCGTTTTTTGCACACAGCACGGTTGTATTTTAAAGAACAATAGCTGTTTTGATAAGTAAAAACTTTGTACCTTACATCAACTCGTACCTTTCGTGGTTTGTTCGTGGTGACAGATGATTTACATCGGCTGGAACAGCACTCTCCTGATTATCAACCTTTCTGATGTTTTTTGAGGATTTAAAACATATTATGTAAATATCATGTGTCTCAGCAGCGGGTATGTTATTAATTTTTAAAGGCCTTAAAAATTCAAATAGCTTCAGCACAGGATAGCATTTAGGATTTTCTAAATTTAGATAAGTAAACGAAACAAAAAGGAGGGAAAGAGAAAAAAAAAATTACAGAATTGTAGAATTTTGTTGTTTTCGAGTAAACGTTGGGAAAAGGAGGTTTTCTCAAAGTTATCTTCCTCTTCTTTGTATATTTTAATAAAGATATAAACATATGTTGTACCCTTTGAAATATATTAAAGAGGTTTGATTCGAATATTAATTCAAAGCCGACAATACTCATAGCTCCTGATAGATTACCAGCGAGTATTGAAATGGAACCCACTTAGAAAGCTTCAGTAAAACCTTTTTAAAGTTTATCGTAAATAGATAGAAATAAGAGAGATGGTAAGTTTAAAGCTCGGTAAAGAAATAGAGAAAATTGTTTTTTCGTCTTTTCACGAGCGTGGGACAAAGAAAAAATTCTGAGTCCCCATGAGGAATCGAACCTCAGACCTTCGGATTCCGCGCCCCGATGCTCTACCACTGAGCCACAGAGACTCTACGGTGAGCGAGGTCTATTACGGAGTTTACATAAAATGCGTCCCGCATACTGCTAGGATCAGCAATGTCGATAGCGTAATGTTTGCAGATAGAAATAAGAGAGAAGAGGTAAGTTTTTGATCGACATTGCTGATCCTAGCAGTATACAGGACGCGTGTGATCTGTAATTCTTTCCTCTAAGTGCTACAGATTTCTTAGTAAATTAGCCGAGAATTTAATGTTAGATCAAAATAACAACTTCATGTTTGGATATTGCAGGGAGAAGTTACATGTTAATTACTTCTGAGAGTTTAAGGGTTGCATAGCGTTTTCTTGAGTGCTGTGGCCAATTTGCTAGTAGAAACAGTCTTTATTTTCTTGGAACCATTCTTGGGACTATCTACTGCAGAACAATAAACAGCTATAAATAAAATCATTGCTCAGAGGCTAGGGTTTCATCCACTCGACCATTCGACCTTGCATGTAAGAATCACCCACAATTAACTGCCACCATTAACTACCCTCAGAGCGAATAAATTAAGAGCTCCGACACGTACAGTGTACTCGAACTAAACAATTTATTTAAATTAACTTCCTGGGAGTGAAAAAAAAAGGTCAACCATTACAATGTTCAACTAAAGAAATTATATTTGATTTCATCAAACACCAGTAAGAAATTTAGTGAACATCAAAGGAACTTCAAAAGCTCCGAGAGCCCCTATCGTGTAACCGGCATGGACACATCGCCAGAACTTGCCTCACGTGGAGGGCTCTGTGAATGCAATAAAAAAGAGCCTTATTTAAAAGTGCATGACTAAATTAAGTACATTTTGAATATAATAAAAATAAATCAGTTAAATCGTCTTCATCCTGGTGCATTAGCTGGTTTTCATATGGTTTAAGTTTTGTGTACGAGACAAAACACTAACCCATTGCGGTAAAGTTTGTCTTTAAAAATCAAAACAAATGCAAGTTACATATATTGTGAAATTAGACAAAATGTTTCTTACTTTGACGACGATTTGGTTGCGCAGAATGGCACCACGAAGAATTAAGGCCTGAAATGGCAAATAACAAGTGAAAAAAATAGATCCATGTCTCTAAAAACAAATTTTAAAATGTAATTTAAAAGCCCAAGTATTAATCACACAAACATTTTAGGAACGATTTGGCTTTATCACTGCAGTTTTGAAAATGTGTGTTCGAGACAATTTGAAATCAACCAATTTCAGTGGTCACTCAGAATTGGTAGGGTCCCACCAAAATATTAGTAACGTGTTCCTCTGACCAAAGAATGCTATCTTTTCAAGGATCATATTTTTCTGATGACAAAACATTTCCTCAGACATGAACTAACCTTAGTTCTTTTGTGATAATCTTTTCCCATTTCTATTGCTTTTTCAAAGGTGACACTTCTCTGATCAACGTTTCGCGCGAACAGAACCTTGTTGTGTGAATCGATTCTGGCCTGTATCTGCCCGTCAAGTATCAGCTCTGACAGCTCATCTTCAAGTTTAGAAACAGTTGTGTTGAACGCATGCGCCATCTTCTCCATATCCGCCGACACATATGGACTGAAGTACTGAAATAAGGAAACAGATCAGTTAGTGACTGAACAGAGAAGGACTTAAGCATTTTCATCCCTCAAAGTGATCACTCAGTAATTTCCCCTTACAACAAAAAAACTCTCTTATGCACACATCCTCTTCAAGAATACTGATATGATCGAACGAAAGCAATGAACTTTTAACACTTGTATTATACATCAATCTCTTTGCTTATCTTGGAGGTTCCTGCGTCTTACATTAAACTTCTTAGTGAAGGGGGAGAGAGAGTGGTGTGGTGGCACTTTCATCCATGATTCTCACGTCTCTAAGTAATAATTTTCCCAATAAACTATTTTCTTGCGTGGGCGAGAACTTCGCTCCAACACGTCAACGTCAGCTTTACATGAAGACACGTTTAATTCGCGTTTTACACTCGGTTATAGCCGTTGAGCTAAATTTCATACATTTAATTATAAATTCTAAATGAGTATGTTTCTAAACATGTAGTTATGATTCTAACCAGGTTGCATTGTTTCGTTTATTTTCCAATTAATTTAACTTCTCAAAACTGCTACCAACCTGTACTAAAGCCCTGTTTCTAATCTGACTGTACAAAGTGTTGACATGTGGCGCTAAATACATGTCTAACATGAAGTTATCCTACGAAAATGAAAAGAAAAAAAATATCAGTCGTGTATTATTTGCGAGTATCTTTTTTTTCCCATTTTTTACCTTCACTTCCAGGAACTTGAAGTTAATCAATAACTTTTGTCTTTCTTTTGTAATTTATGAAATTTTCATTAAAAACGATGCAGTGTGTTGCGTTCTCTTAGATGAAAAATCCCTGTTACTACGACAATCACACGATTAAAATATTCGCCAAAATATTTTAAAAAAGGGGCGAGAGGATGAATGAAACTGAGTCACAATAAAAAACTAATAATAATTATAATAATGGTTATTATTTTTTTAATATTATTGAAAATTAAAAATCCGAAAAATAATAATTGGGATTATAAATACGAGGTCTATATGCTCTTTCAATGCCAGAAAACATACTGTAAGCTACTATTGTAAAGTAAATAAATACGACTTTTTCAGTATTCGACTTGGCCTCTCTAAATCAACAATTCCACTTTTCCCAAGATTTAAACCCATCCATGTACTGCTGTTTTCATTCTAGTAGAGATATCAAAGCAGACAATTTATTTTCCACAAATCTTATGTACCTTCATTTCATCCAAAAGTTTCAAACAGGCAGCATACTGCGACTCATGGAACTTATATAACACATCTCGCAGTTGTGGCTCCAACTCAAGAAAAAGCTTAAACGAACTAAAAACATAACAGAATTTAAATTTAGTTTCAAATCAGCGTTCTCTCTATGACTTTTACATGGCGTTAGCTGATCTATGAAACTTTTTAAGGGCGAATCTATGAGGTATTTAAATATTTTCTCTTTTCAAACTCAAACGACTATACTTTCAACATAATTAAAAGGTAAATTGCATGATAATGCAGTTTAACTTCTACTACAATTTTAGTCCTTGGGCCATTTTTGTTGAAAAATTTGTCAACTAACAGCCATTTCCTGGTAGCCAAAGCTACATAGCAGGAAAATCAATTTCATTTCCTTTTTTTCCCTTTCTTTTTTTTATCACTCTAAATCCTCTTCACATTAATAAAACTACATCTGTTCAGTGGTTTCTAGGTCCAAAATTTTATAATTCAACATTTAACGTATGTGGTCACCTGACGGCCAAGTTCAAGAGAGACATGTACAGTACCTGCTTGATAAAACTTTTTTTTGCAACTCTTGTCTGTCAAATGAAGCTAATGCACACAGTCCCCCATAAACTGCTACATTATTGGGTGAGATAATCTGCAATGTAAAAACAGGGAAACAAAAAAAAAGAATGTCTACTTGTACTTAAGATTCTATTCACATACACCTACAGTGTACACCATATTCAAGATTTCTACCATGTCATACAAAATATTAAATCAAGGCTGATGTATATTAGAATGAGTGTAGTGATGTGCCTTAAACTTTCATCTCATACTCTTGGGTTCAACTATTTCCCAAAAGGACAAAGTAAAACAACAAACAAAAAATAAATGGAATCACTGGATGAAGACATTGTGATGAGTATATTAGACAGGTAGCATGACACTTGATAATGGAAGGGGTGCAGGCAACAGACTGACACAAACATATGTATCTGGGACTTAGCATTTGCCCTAAATTATATGAAAACCAACCTCTGGACATTCACAGTTGTCAAAAGAAGCTTGTAAGAAATTCCTGGCAGCTGATTTGTACTTCCTAGTAGCAAGCTCTGCAAGGCCTATCAAGAAAAATTAGGATAATTATGAGTGGGGATCAGTAAAAATTTTCTTTAGTTATTATACATGTATGTGCTCAAATAATATTATTTTTAAACTTGCTTGACAAAAGATAGATATACCTGCAGCACACTTCAGTTTGGTTAGAGTCACCAGATTTGGTTTTCTATCTTTCTGCTACAAAATAAAAAGATAAAATTTTGATTTTGATAACTTAGTGCCTTCATTGCTTTGTTTGCTGGTTTGGATGTAGATTGCATGAAAATAAAAAGCAGACAATATACCTCATTATACATTAGACTTACTACCAAATTCAGAGTGGTGAAGAGCATGCAGTCAATATTCAATTATAGCATGTGAAGCTGACTTGATAACCTAATGTCTGGAGCAGATATTAGGTCACCATGTCAAGTTCAAAGTCTGCTTAGTTTCCAAGCACCATGTCCTTGTTTTGTTCTTAACTTTTGCAAACTTAAAGAGAAGTGTCTTCTTTTGCAGATTTTTTTTAAAAAATCTATAATCAAACAATTATTGAATTTGGTTTTCACATGATATAAAAATTAGAAAAACCATGTAGTTGTGTTATCAGCCTCAGCCTTTGGCTTGGTGGATTACTCAGACCTCAGCATTGATAATTCATGATATCATGCTCAACCTCATCCAATATTTACTTGTTGTCATACATTTTTGATGCTGGTAACTCTCTCCTTTACCTGGCCAGCAGCCTTCCATCTCTGGTATCAGTTTCTTAAACACTTTTTAATTTTTTTTATTTAGGTAATACATTAAATTCTCAATTTAACTTTTTTTTTTTTTAATTTTTACCTCAGCTAGTTCTGAAGTGTTCTCAGCCTTATTCACATAATTCAGCACATGTGACCAGTTACCCAAGTGAATACTGACCTAAAAACCACCAAAGATAGTAAAGACGGAAATTAATAGTGTGGGTGAAAAACAATTACATTGTATGCTTTGGTAAATAAAAGTATTTGTTATAAATACAGCTATTCAGCTTTCAATAAATGTAAAGTATATAATATTGTGGTTCAAAGCTTTCCTTGGTTTTGACTTTTTCAGAAAGTTTATGTTAGTTTGATTTTTCTTTGACACAGATATACATAATCTGAAATAAGGGGAAAAAAAACTCACAGTGGATGACTACTTTGAAGAAATTTCAAATCAAAGAAAAACAACAAACACCTATGTACATGACAGTCAGTTAAATATCTTGCATTACTGAACAGTGCTCAGTTCCTTGTTCATAATAATCACACACAAAAAATTCTCATAACTTTGATAGAGAAAAGATCTCTCCAAGGCCTCATTTGGTACATGTACTTTCCAAGGACTGTAATTGTTAATTAAATGATCATTCAATTACTGTATTTGTTGCTTTGACTTTCTCAAGGAAAAAATCCTTTTCTGTAATTTACACTATTTTTTTTCCTCCAACAAAGTTTATAGGGATCTCATGGTGAATAGAGCAAGGTAAACAGACACAAACAAGTTATTGTGTGACAACAACACTGTAAAGACTCATCATGTCAATCAGTTAGAGCCTACCTTGATGACATTAACACACATATTGACAACATGTTTTGCTGTGGTGCAGTAGTCTCTGGCTCTTGAGTAACACTTTAATGCATTGCTATATGATACAATAGAGAAATTGACAGTTCAAAGATTAACAGATACGCACAGTTACTGAGAACAAAATCCTGAAATATTCAGGAAAATACATAATCTTTGTATGAACTATGTGTGACAGTTTCAATGTGTACAATGTATGTGTTGTGGTTCAATTTTATCCTTGGTTCAAATTTTATTTTCTTTTGTTTTTGGGTATTGTAGTTTGAAACAAAGGAAAATAAAATTTGAACCAAGGATAGAATTGAGCCACAACATATGTAAATGTAAGGTGTCAGTAGAATTACCAAAAATTACAAACTATATTATTTGTAAGTTCACATTTCTTAAGGCTTAATATGTTTAATAACAAATACACAGAAACAAATACAAAACATATTTATAAAAGCCTCTTGTGAATAATCATGCTAAAACAAAACTAACTTCAGGTCTCCACATTCAAAGTAATGATCCCCTAAATCATCATGTCCACGTCTGCCAGATAAAAGACATTTCTTGTAAGTACCACATAGAAAACTACACAGGAGGTGTACAAACTGAAGCAGTTATACTCATGATTTTCATTAAGTAATGTAGGGATAGGAGGGCAAAAGTTACTTTAATAGAAAATTACTGCCTAAATCTAAATGAAAATTAGAGCTGGCCACTTAAAGTAGAAAAAGAATTTTTGATCTCCAAAGCCTGGTTAACACCCTAAATGTATAAATATTATGTGAATGCATCATGTTTAACTTAATGCCTGTCAAAGATCAACATCAAATTTAAATTTTCAAACAACAAAACATTTTGGTTTTGGAATAAAATCAAAAGAGAACTTCTATTGCTCACAATTTTTAGGACAAAGTAACATGCAAGCAATTCCATGAAAGAAGCAATGGGACTCTGAGAGTAATAAACACTTATTCACTTGTGTAAACAATGTAATGAGTGCTTTAATTAACCATCTGATGATAATAATTTGATTTAAGGATGAAATTGCAAAATCCAAGTCACCATTAACTGACTTTTACCTGATGCTCTCTTTGATTGAGTTACTTTTGTAATTTTTCAGGTCTGTATCAAGCTTCTCAAGCTGCAAAAACAAAACAAGATGGGCATTTAAAAGAGAAAATATTTTCATTTTTTAGACATTTAATTCCTTATAACAATTGGTATTGGTTGTGCCTACATCTCTTGTTTTAAGAGCATCCAAAATACTAATTGGATGGTCATGTAGGTTCAACTAGCAATTAAGGTGGATATCAATTGTTTTTTTCTTTTTCTCCTCCTTTGGAATGAACTGACTGAGAAATGTCACCTTTCAATAACTGCTGTGGGAAGCTGGCAGGTGACTGCTCATCAAAATGGTAATAATAAATTACCTTGAGAGCAGCTTTTTTACTTGTAGTTTCAATCCAGGTGGCATCAACAGCTGGGCATTCCAATTCACTGCGGCTACTGCAACATTGATTAAGATTGTGTAAAGAAGCTGATGCCTAGAAATCACTCACATCGTATACACACTTTTATGAATATAAATTAGTTCATTTACAAAGTAACAGAACCAACTTTATGGATGGGCCAAAACATATAGCCATACTTCAGATTTCCCACAGCAAGATTAAATATTGGCAGTGCTTGCAGTTTTGAATATACAATTTTTTGTAGAACAGTACTTTGAGGCATTGTTTCCCCATGATAAATCATTAATCTCTTTATTAGCTTGAACACAAAATGGAAATATCTGTATATGAGGCCAAAAGTAGCAACACCAAAAAATGATTTTATAATGTTATTTTTCTTGCTCTCTCTTTTTCTTTTTTCATCAGGGTACAATTTGATGGATTTGATTGACGTCTCCAAGCAGAAAAAAAGACAAAACTTCTTTAGGGTTACAATTACTAACCTACATGTACAGATGTCTTACCATGCTTCTGTCATCCGTGTCACAATCTCCTGATAAAGCTGGACATTGAATGTTTGTTTCACATAACTGAGGGCTATTCTACAGATATCAGTATCAAAATAAAAGTCAAACACAACGCTTTGAGCAGCTAAATGTTTCCTGGTATACATCAAATGATCTTGAAAAGTTGTGGCAATTCTTTCACAACAAGTTGCTCCTTTGAATTCTTCCAAAAGAGACTGAACAGACTACAACACCTAGCTGTAGCTACACTTGCAACAAAGGGATTTGTTCCACATGAAAAAAGGTGTGGGGAAGAGTTTGTGGCAAAACTGTTTCTCCTGATAGTTCCTTTATTGTCATTACTAACTGTAGTTGTTCTGATTTTTTTACAAAAAATCAATTGACATGTACTTTACCACACATACTGTAGCAATCAAGTTTCACTTTACCTTAAAGCATCAACTTCAAGGGATGGACAATGTTTTGCAACAAACATCAATCTGTTTAATTTTGTAAGGCTGGTATAGTTTGATGCATACACATCAAGATCCTGAAACAGAATGTTTTTAGCTCAAATGAGAAAAGAATTGTGTTGGCATAACACCTTGATGCAACCCGTGAGAGGAATGAATCAGAGATCCAATGTAAACAGTAGCAGGAGTTATAAAATTTGTGAAGTTTATATATATGTTATCTACTATGTGGGAGGTACATAAATTGTAGGAAAAAATTGGTTGGTGAGGCCATAGACTAAGGAAACAGTTTATTGCCAAATGGGTAGATCTAGACTAGTTAATAACCAATATCTAGATTTATCTTTTTCTACTGGTTTGCTTGACTTCTACTTTTCTTTGAATGGCGCAGAAAAAATTCAAGTCAGTATTGTAAAATCTAGTATGTTTATGAATGTCAAATCAGCTAATCACATTCAAGGAATGCTGACCCACTGTGATGCTTTCATAGAAAAAATGCTCTAGATACATGTTATTTAAAAGACAAATTTAAAGGTTTCCCTACCAGAGTTGCAGATTCAATAGTGAAATTGTCTTCTAAAGGAGGATGATCACCCTCTGGTGCTATGTCAACCTGCATGGGTTCTATAGGGTTCTGAATGAATAAAAAAATTACAATGTACACAACTACATTGTAAACTAAAACAAAAAGGTATTGTTTAACTCTTTCACTCCCAAGATCTAATTAGTAATTCTCCTTTCTGTCTATTACACAATTCTTATGATGTAAGTGTGAAGAATGTAATATTTGATCAACTAATTATGCCCTCGGTAATCTATGTTTTTATCTATGCTCATCACTTGTCTGCTTGGTAATGCATTGATATTGAAAGGAGAAATTCTACCTTGGTTCATCCTGGGAGTTAAATTGAGGGTTCTCTCTCTTTATCCCATGACCAAGTTCAAAAGTCTATCATCTTTCTTATTTCATATAAGTAGATGACTCTCTACAACGAATGCTCCAACATTGCTGATCCTACTTCACCTGACTATGAAGAATGCCTGGCACAATTGAACAGGGTGCTCTGTATGGCATGACTCACTACCGAGCCCAATGGTTGGAGCAGTCGAATGCAAAGTCTTAGAGCCTGAGGATCGAATCCTCTCGTAAAACTCAGATTTTCTTCATTGTACCATTGTTGTGCCAAATGTACAACATCTTTCTCGAAACATTGTGCACAACTGTGTGTATGGTAAAAGACAACACCTCTGTCCTGGTGCATGTACACGCTATCGTCGGAAAATTAATAGGTCGATTAATTATTATCCAGAAACCGTTAAAAAGCTGAGTTCTACAGCTGATTGCACTTTCATTTTCTCTCTCGCGGTCGTTGGGTTTACGATGCATGTAATCGAATAAAAGTGCTATTTTGAACATTAAATGAACAATCAAATTGTGATCTTGTCGCTTTTCAAATACTAATCACCTATAAATATTGCAAAAAAACTTTTACCCACCTCATGGGACCGACCAATTCTTGCTGGTAAAGGCATTTTCGCGAACTAAGAGCTGTGATAACCTGCTTGTGTCCCAGTGCATAGAGTGCCAAAGCCACCAACAGATCGATGAATACGTCGTGTAGCATGTCACCAAAATAAAACCCAGCGGTAAACAAACACAAGCTCTTCATCATGTAGAAATACATCTTGTGTCTTCTAATGTACTGGAAAGTCAAATTAATCTTGTTCATAGCAAATTTTTCATCTCAAAAGCTTTGATGAGAATCAAGCGTCTGAAGAGCACACCCATCTTGATTTGTGATGTTTGTTTTCCACGTGTGGGTAACGACAGAAAACGGTGTCCGTTGGACGAGTCTCTGTTTTTACCCTTTTTTGTTAATATTCATATATGAAGGCGAAATTAGCGAGAGAGGTTCCCAAAATGAATGGCTATTAGTGATTGGCCCATACATGGATTGACTATTGATCTGTTGGGAAAAGAATTGTAAGACAGCCGCGAAGGAGACTGGGACTATTTTGTTACGATTGACGAAACCGAGAGGATAACAAATTAAATAGAAATAAATGCGTTATTGACCATGAGATAGGTCAAGTTGGTAGGATATTGACCCAGTAGTGAATTCGTGATCCACAAATAACGCACGTCAACTCTTTTTTCACGCCCAAACCATTCAATGAACACATTTAACAGTGGTTTCCTGTTTCTTTGCGTTACCTAATTAAGAAACGAAAGCTTCCACCTCAGTAAAATGGGCCTTTGAAAAGCTCGTTAATGAAAAGTTAAATCTTTTCCAAAGCGGGTATTCTCCATAACAATCATTTATCAAATGTAACAAAACGTAAATCAATTTCTATGGTTTATTTACCACGGCGTCTAATCACTATTTTAAGATGATGAGAAAAAAAAACCGTCCACATGCTCTTTAACATCAATAAACAAACATTTAGCCTTGAAATTATATTTCCTTTAGATCCTGTTATCGAACAAGTAGAGAATTTATTGAAACATGGACACTAATCTACTTTCCATAAAACACTTCGAACTAGCCGCGCACATATTAACGGAAGTTAAGCGACTGAATGATATGAATGCAAATTCTGATATCAACCATTGAATCCGTTTCCTCAAGCGCAAACGCTTTCGCAGAGGGATCTTTCTAGAAGATGATATTTTTATCTTCATTCATATCAACATTTATTGGCGATTGAATCGTCTCTTAGCTGCTAAAGAAGCCATTCCAAAGATTCACTCGTTATGACTCCTCAGATTCATCAGTTTCGTCTACACAGTTTCTTTTAATGAACGTTTCTGGAAACTGCGATTAGAGAATAAATATGTTATATGTTGATTGTCGAGAAAGATACTTATTGCTTGATGAAATTACTCAAAAGTATATAAGGTATTTATTCTTAATATTTGTAAGCTCTGTTTCTACACTTTTGCAGTTTTGTAAACAACTATTCTAATAACTTCTGTTGTCTTTTAAGTCTTTTTTGGAAATCCAAACAGGTTAAGATGGGGTTGTCGCTCCAAAAGTTTTTTGAGACGCCTCTTACCAACACTGGTGATCTGACAGTTACCCTGCAAGTTCAAAGCGGTGACTTGAAATTGCGCCTTCTGCAAAGTTTGACATAGATCGGCAACACCAGCATCACTGATTTGATTCCAACTCAGATTTAGTTTGGTGACTTTACATGTTGCTGTCTTTAATGCTTTACATAGACTGGCAACACCGGCATCGGTGATCTGATTATGGCCCAGATATAGTGTTGTGACTTTGGATGTTGCTGTCTGTAATGCTTGACATAGACTGGCAACACCGGCATCGGTGATCTCATTACGGCCCAGATCTAGTGTTGTGACTTTGCATGTTGCTGTCGGTAATGCTTGACAAAGACTACAAACGCCGGCGTCGGTGATCTGATTACTACTCAGATTTAATGAGGTAACTTCACATGTTGGTGTCTGTAATGCTTGACGTAAACTGGCAACACCGGCATCGGTGATCTGATTACGGCCCAGATATAGTGTTGTTACTTTGCATGTTGCTGTCTGTAATGCTTGACATAGACTACCAACGCCGGCATCGGTGATCTGATTGCCACTCAGATTTAATGAGGTAATTTTGCATGTTTGTGTCTGTAGTACTCGACATAGACTGAGAACACCGGCATCAGTGATCCGAGTTCCTTTCAGAGACAGTTCGATCAGCTTAGTCCTTGGCAACGATTCTGCGATCGTTGCAACACATTCTTCGTTTAAAATACACACAGAAAGGAGTAGTGAAGTGACGGTGCAGAAACATTTCTTTAGCGCCTTAAAGATTTGTCGTAGTCCAGTTTGTGTAATTTGGCAATTGAAGAGAGTCAATTGTGCCCAACAGGGCCGGCAAAAGGACGTTTTAATCTTTCCAGCAGTTTCCCCTGCACTAAAGGTGGTACGCCTGGAGAGTCCACGTCGATTAACCAACGGCCTGTGAGCCATTTGAAGAGATGTTTGACTCCTTCCAGCAGTTTCCCCTGCACTCAGTGTGACACGCCTAGAGAGTCCACGTTGACTGCCCAACGGCCTGGGAGACAGTTGGAGAGATGTTTTACTCCTTTCAGGCGTTTCTACTACATTTAATGTATTTATGACATCCAACAGAAAAGATACAGCAATACAGTCCACATCGGTCAAGTGTTGAAATTTAATATTTCCATCACGATCACTAAACTGATTGGAAAGTTTCTTCACGACAGTTTTTGCAAATTCTTTGTCTTGGTACTCAGCGAGACATTTCGTTATTATTAGTTCTGCTGGACGCTCGGCTGAAGAGCTCTTACTGATTCCTTCAAGCAGTTTATGCATAAAAGCTTTGTCTTTTTGTTTTGATAAAATGCCAGACATAAATTGCAACACCATTGCTGACGCATTTTCTCCGGACGGAATCTTTTTGTGCTTCACAAACCAATGGGCCGCTAAGTATTCCTGGAGTGTCAGATGGGTGAAACAGAAATGTTTCGTCATTTCCGAGAAAGATTTTCTAAACATGGGACCGCAATGAAGAAGACCGCTTGCTCGTAAGTTCTCAACCTCTTCTTCAGTAAATGTCTTCATATCTTCGACGGCGAAAAGATACTTCTTCTCTCGGAGCAATTGAGCAGCCAGAATTGACAATTTGTCCATTGTAACTTCAGGTGTGGTTCCTTTCGTTTTGCTATGCTTACTAAAAAACATATTAACCACTTCAAAATAAATGTCACTTGTGTTCACCGGGAGAGCATCAGTTTTCATCGATTCCTGCAAGATGTACTCAAAATAGGAACACATTAGAAAACAGAGAACTGGAATGTGGGCAAAGCTGACAAGATTTTCATTCTTGGTAATGTGATCCATTACAACATTCTTCATGACGTCGTTTTCTTTGAAATACTTGTCGATGTATTCCTTCACATTTTGCTCAGAAAATCCTGTGATTTCCACGCACCGGTCAAAGCCAATTTTATCCTTTATGTCATCAGATTCATCGGATCTTGAGGTTATCATGACAACGGAATCTTTCAAAATTTTTCCTTTGATAAGCTTGGCACACAGAGCTGCAACCGGCATTTCCTCTTGGGCACCATTTGGGTACTGTTCATCCAGATCACTAGTAATAAAACTTTGCTTTGAACATTCGTCATACCCGTCGATGATGATCAAAACGTCTTCAGAATGATGAAAAATGTACTCAAATAAAGAGTCGTCAATATTTGAGTCGTCATCTAACACTGAGGATCGGATCAAGATATCCTTCAAGCTCACAGGGTCGTCCTCAAGTAAATTCAATTGACGGAATGTTAACAAGAAAGCGAACTTAAAGTCAGGTAGTTGCGCTGGGTTTGTTTGGGATTGAAACAATTTGTTGCCAGCCCAATCTCGGATTAACTTTTGGCAGAACAGTGTCTTACCAATCCCTGCCTTCCCAGTGACGAGGACAGTTTTGGGATTCTTTTTCTCTTTACAATCGGCGTCAGAGATGAAAATGTCTTGACAGTGTGTGACTGGTTTTCCACTCACTTGACCGTACTGCTGAAGGTGTTTTTCTCTTCCCATATCAGGGTCTTCGACTGGCTTTCTTCCGTGTTGTATCAGAAGGCTGGTGTACGTGTCATCTATTCTTACCTTAGTTGAGGTGGGAGAAGCTACACTGTGGAACTCCGTTTGGGTTTTTATTGATTTTTTCAACGCGTTTGTGTATGCTTCTACAGCTGAAAAGGAAACCCAAATGTTTTAATTTTGTTTGATATAGTTTCGAAATATTTTTTATATGTTTGAATAGTGTCACAAATCAGTTAAAAAGATTCTTTAGGAAATATTTGGGTTTAATGCGGATATTGCTTTTAATGAGGGGTGGGGATCAAGTTCAGAGATGTAAATGGTATGGAAATGACGACTACACAGAGAAAAATAGACGACTTATTAGTAAGAAATTTTCATTTGAATGTTTTCACGAGATTGTTTAAAAGCTTTTCTCCGTGAATAATACGTTTTGCTCAAGCATGAAGTATGAACAGTATCTTTGCTAAGCCGGGGGAGTCTTACGAAACATAAAAATTATCATACCAGAGGGGATGCTGAAGGTGTCTATTAAAACGTATATTACTGCCGAACCCACCAATGCATATGACATCTTGTTTAATGAGAAACCGTTATTGATATTCAAGAAATCCTAAATTCTCCAAAATGAGTGGGTCTGCACATCATAACATGAAGGAAGTTACCACGCCCCTATTAACCATTTCCGCTGCATTTCAAGGAGTCGGGAGGGAGGCAATTTTTTTTTTTTTAATAATGTCAGTTGAGAAATTGGTGTTTCATTTTATCGGTATCAGTTAATTTTAAAAATTGTTTTATCCCTGAAAATAGAGAAAATTAAGAGACAAATAAGAAGTTGTAGACCTAGTGTTTGATCTTAGGGGCATCGAGCGCAAAGTTACCTTCCAGTCCTGTCTTCTTTTTAGGTTTGATCAAGAATTCTTTCATATCATTTAGTTCTTCTATTATCCTATCCAGGGTTTCTTTAATGCTGTCTTCATCCATCACCCACTGTTTAAGAAGCTCTCTGTAGTGTTCCACAAAATCAGGGTCCATGCATTCCTTTTTCAGATTATCAATATCACTTTGGTAACGAGCTCCTCCCAGTCTCACCAATGCATCTTGGATGTCCTGCCAGTATTGATTGAATGTTGCGTCATCAACTGAGGCCTGGCTGGCATGACCATAAACTGTGTTTCTGTAACACTTGATGCGAACAATATCTGCCTCAAGGGTTGTATCTGTTGCAGGAGGAAGTGTATCCCAGCCGGTAGCTGGACGAACAAGATTACAAATGTTCCTCAGCAGAACCATAAGAAGAGTGATATCGAAATTGTTTGATGAAACTGAAGATTTGATGGTAGGATATAGTTTACTCCATTGAGATGGATTCAGCACTTTACGACTTTTGAGTATCTGTAGCACCGCATGAACCGGAGGGCTTGATAAAACCGTATCCAGGTTTCCTGGCGGACGCTTCTTGTCAAATGTCTCTCTCAGGATATATGCACTGACATCCACCAGAAGCCTGCATAACCGGGCGTAATTAGTTGTCTCTTTAGTTGAACGAAACGATGGGGCCGCTGCTGAGGCCATGAAGAACCTTTGCAGAAATTAGAAAAAAAAAATGTAAAAGACATATAGAGGCAGATTAGGTCAATATTACAATCAGTTTCCGTTTAGTTTGAATTCTTCATACATGGGATGAGGAGTGAATAACACTATACATCTTCTGAACTACCAATATGAGCGGTATTTATCCGCTTGACGGTGACTTATTCAGAGCGAAAACGGATTATTCATTCTTCGAACAATCGGCAAATGTCAATTTTTACAACCTTGGGTGCGTTTTAAGAACATATTTTTTATATAACTGAGGTTTAGTGATAAATAACGTTCCACATCCTGAACGGATAGGATATCCTACAACACTTTTCACCGATATCTTCACAAATAATTACTGCGTGTAAAGTAAACTCGAAGTGATCTCAACAATTTTTTAAAAAGAAACCACAAATATTCAATTTATCTGTATGATAAATTTATGCTTAAAATGCTCAGTGGTGTGTGAAACACTTAAAAGTGCACGCACAATGGTTTGAATCGTTAGATTATGAGGGCTTCCCAGGGGCAGGAAGGAGGAGGAGTGGGGTGACCTCTTGTTTTCTAGTGTTTGTCGGCGTCAGTTCATTTCTGCCAGTGTGACGTAACATAGTCACATAAGGCTTGGTCAGTTTAACGAGGAGACGCTTGTAGAAACCAACAGAGGGAAGGCTTACTCAAGCTGTTGTTAAGTCATTATTCACAGTTTGCTGCAACTGTGCAAGCTTTGTTATATGAATTGTCTGTGTGTTTTAAGTTAATTAATTGGTGAACATGTTTGCTAGCAAAAGTTCATTGATTACATTTCGGGGTTCGCGCACTGACCATATTGCCTTCGGAACGTGTCAAAACTAACCAACGCTGTTTTCTCCGTGTCAGCTGATAGCCGTATTTATAGAATTAACCAGTTAAGTGACATGTAAGGTGACTTTTATTATGTTCCGATTGCGAGCGCTTCGTATTTTACTCTCTGAAGGCATCAAACTTTTTTATACTTGTTTCTTTGTTTGTTTGCTTTTTTTTGGAGGCACACGATTAATCAAACCCATTTAACTATGAAGATGGTTAATTTTGTTCTCAAAAGAACCATTTCACGCCTCTCATTTTTTTTTTTTGATCAGGCTCGATAAAACTCAACATGCTGCTTGAATGTTAATGGTACCATGTCCTAACCACAACTACAAGCGTCAATGATCCTACAGTTTCGAAATGCAAAAAGTTATGAAACCTTAATACCATGGTTAACGGAATAGAAGCCAAAGCATCAATACTGCCTGATTCGAGAGCCAAACGAGCAAAATGCGAAAGATACGGATGTAATCGATCTCTCTTCGGAAATAAAACGCAGCCAGAGTTGAAACTCTTACCTCGTGGACTGAGAGCCTGATCACCCACCGACAAAGCGCTCACCAACCAATTGTCTTTGAGCAGGGCCAAATTTGATCCTTTTGCAAGTTGTAAATCGCTTTAAGTCAATATAAGTTTCGGTCTCAAGGGTAAATGGCGATGAATACAGTCATCAAGCACTAAGATACAAGCGGAATGTTTTTCAAGCCTCTCTATTCCACTTAAGACAAACCAATCAACGCATACCGATATGCAAAACAGTATGTTCTAAACTGTAGCAGCATCCAGAGACTTTTGTTTTCGAAATCTTAACCTTTTGCCCTCCTCTTTCAATTTCTATTTACACCACATGAGTCAGCAGAATAAAACCATATATAAATCAATAGATAGAACCGTGCTGCTTCCAGTTATGTTAAACAGCGCTATCTCCTGGTTTCACACCGAAACAACTAATCAAGCAGTATTTTCTGTCATTCTTGTTCGCGCTATCACATGTCGTTATATTCTATGGTGCGGAACTTGTCAGGATTAGTAAGATTAATTGCTGACAAATTTAGTTCAGTCGTATGCATAATTTCTTGCATATAAGTGATAGAGATCTTATAATTGGCGCAGACTTATTCAACTGAGTTCATTGTATTGTTATGATCTCTGATTTGCAAAAAGCGGCAACCAAGAATGTCATCGAGTAATCACACATCACGCGAGACCGCGTGACACGTGCACAAGTCACGAATAACCATAATATGATCTGAATTGAGTTGCAACAGAAGTAAAGGTTGCGTACAGCAATTTGTTACCCATTTTAGTGCACGTCTCTTGTATGTAAGGGGAGTGAGGTGGAAGTAGATCGGTCTCCTCTCCTTAGAAGTCTAACGGAAAGAGTAGAACATACACCTCAGGGTCCCTCCCAAGAAACTTTGTTTCGATTTACTTCCGCCTTCAGATAGTTATTCTTGATGAAGTGGATTTTTGTACTTGGTTTGATCTCTTTTTAATCGAAGTAAAAGTTATGAAAGATAAGATGACATTGAAAATAACCTATGTCTAGCTTTACACGAAAAACAAAATAAATAAATAAATCGGGTTGAAAGCGGAGAATTAGCATTCGGATTTCGACAAAACTCGTTCAATTCCGATCGATCGTTCGATTGTATGTGCAGTATTCACCAGCCAAATGAACATCTATTTGTAGTTTCATGGTTAATCGGTGGCCATGTTTGATTTCAAACATTGATTTAGCGAAAATGTTTGCTTGCGCGGAGCAGATTTCTTCGAGGTGGCTACAAATGTGTTAAACATAAGATGTAAGAGGCAGAAATAAAGAGCTCAGTATGGAATAAAATCCACAAACTCTTACCTCAAAATATTGACCTGAAGCTCTCTCTCGACAGCCCAGTTACTTCACGGTCGCGAAAGGTTTCCTTTTCCAATCGGTTATTTGGTCGCTGCAAGATGCGTGTACTTAGCTCAGTCAGACTTCGGTGTGTAGCAATCATCGAAGTAGAAGGAAAATTAATTCACGAAAAGGTTTGTCCATTCGTGGCCTTAAATGAATTCACCTATATACGCAAGCTAACTTCATCGCCAAATGACGCAGGCGAATTTTCAAGAGGTGGTATTTAGCAAGCTCAAGTTCCAATTGCGAAAACCTAAACCTTTAGTTTCTACGCAACCAATAATCTCCGTTACGTCTGAAGGCTTGAATGGAGGTTATTTTATTACTGGTACTATTTTTAATATCACTTGACCTCATCTATTCATTCCTAAGATAAACTAAAACCAGATATTATTTTTTCTCTCATCACAACGTAAAATATTATTTCTCGACTAGCAATTGAGCTTCGTTTCTGGGCAATGCGGCGGATGGAAAATCAGGGCAGTGTAATATATAGATTTAGCCAAGCATAAAAGCGGAGCTCTCGTTAGTTTATTTTCTAGCCCTTCATTATAATAAAAACTGTAATGAAACTCTTCAGCACTGGCCGTTGAAGTGGTTTTTCAATGGGGATTTAGGGACCATTTTGGGGGTGGGGAGGGAAGGGAAGAATTGACAAGGTCTGGAACCTGGGGACGACGTTCTCACAACTTGCAAAGTGATCAACACTCGTGCTAGTCAGTGGTATTTCCAAGCAGCTGAGGACCTTCGTTTTTGTTCCTGATGTTTTGAGCAAATTTTTCGATGATAGGGAATCTTTTCCTCTTCAGATAAAGTGTGCGATGTCAGCATCAGTTGAAATTATATTCTTTTGAGCGTGACTGATAATTTTGGTTTGGGAAAATGAGCCAAAATTGAAAGAAACGACAGTAAACTTCTTCCCGGTCGATTGAAGAGTATTACAAGTGAGAACAGTGAATTAGTAAATCAAGATGCCAGAATTGTACGGGCTTCTCCTATATCTTTTTTTGAAGTTGCCAGGTATGACTGCTTACCCCACCGTTTTTCCCATAAGCATATAAATTAAAAAGAAAGTGACTTTCAACTCGTGTTTGAACCTGTTTTTTTTTTTTTAACTTTTTCTCTTATGGCTATATATTATTGTTTCATAATTGTCCTCTGGCTGGAAATACACGGCGTCTTTATGAGATTTTTCTCTGTTATTTGATTAATGTAGGTTTCTTTTAGCCAACTGTCCACGATCTTCACAACTCTAGCTAATGAAATACAAAAGTAGGCAGTAACTTAAAGAAATGTGTAATATCTCTTTGCAAGGATGAAAAGGAATGCCATTTATGAATTTTAAAATTGTAAATGCCAAAAACTTAAAGATAGAATTTGAAAAACTACTAAAATATGGTATATCTATTCACTGATATTTTTATCATTAGCTCAGGCAAACAGAGATATAAAAGAGGCTTTGTGAAAAAAAAAACAAAAAAACAGGGCAATAAAATTAAAGATTCAGGAGAAGCATATGACATTAACTAGTTCACTGATGTTCTCACCTGAATTCGATCTGGAAAGAGAACTCTGCATCACTTCTGTTTTATCCAACCAAATTTAATTATTTGCAGGCAGGTTAGGAAGAAAATTAAAGGAATGGATATATGTTACAAACATGTAAAAAGAAACCCCTTACAATAAAATAAATCAGAAGCATATTACCTACATATGCAAAACGGGTGCAGTATACGGTCGTAAAAGTAATTTTATTCCAACCTTCCTCCTTGAAGGGTGCCTCGTGTATCAAATATATCAAGTTCAGTACCTCCAGCGTCATAAGCCGGGCTTTTGGGGCTACAAAAAAGTAAAATAATCAACGAGCCACGCCAGGCCAATTTGTAGAAAGTCCTTCGTTACCCGTACCCCATAAAACTACAGTAAAGACCAATAAAACAAATAGCACTTCAAGATACGTATTTCTTATTCCAACTAACGCATACAAGCAGAGGAGAGCACTCATACATCAATTTTACTACTTTCCCAGATGTGTGATACGTCACACGTCACGTGTTATGCATTTCCGTTACGATTATTTCCGTTTACGTTTAACGTTTGTTTCCACTTGTATACGCCCTAACAAACTTCCCCCCCCCCCCGAAGAAAAGTGTCGTCCCTGACACTTGCACCTAAACTGCGTATTTGAATAGCACACATTGAATGGTTTCACGCCCGTAAAGGGAACTGGTACCGAAGATTACAAATATCTTCTTGCACAACAATATACTACTTAGGATTCTGACTTATTAATCTCTAATAAAAGGCTGCAGCAACTGAAATTCACGGTAGCATCTCCCGTCCATAGGGTACACTCTGTATCATTTGATAAGTCTTCGGCCTGTCGTAAAGGTATCTGACGAGCAGTGTTACACTTATCCTTCCTGACCCTTCTTTCTCTCTTCTGGCCTGTTTTGCTTGGGATGTTAATAGGAAGATTATTACATGGCAATAGCAAGCTCCTATGTGAGGTTCGAAGTTCTGTTTCCACCAGAGCCAGCCTTGGGCTTGCCTTTATACACAAGGCTATCTCCTCCTTTACGGCTAACGACTATGTGAATCTGATCCTCCCGATGTGAGCGCAGTTTCCCGGTTCACCCCGTTCGCTCAGAAGTTACGTCTCACTCAACTCACGTTTTCTCTCTGCTTCTGGTGGTCGTTGGCCACGCCGGATTAAATCACTCACTCGACGAACGACCTGGTCAGTGGCTTGTGCGTACTTGAGGTCTATCCTTGGTCCTGTGGATTCTTCACTTCTTAGTGGGTCAGTTGGTAGGACGGTGTGGTCTCCTATAAAGGTGGACACCCAGTTAACTTGTCCTTGGTCTTGAGATTTTGTTGACCATGCAGCGGCCTGAAGGACATACTGTGGTACTATTTCTGTATAAGCTGTGTCAACAGAGGGCATTCGAGATAAAGCGTCGGCATCAATGCTGGCTTTTCTTGGGCGATAGTGTATAGTGAAATTGAAATCGGCTAACTCTCCAATCCAGCGCAAACTGGTGGCATTCAGTTTTTCAGAGGATAATACATAGATGGGTGGGTTATTTTCGGTGAACACTTTAAAATTTGGTGCGTAGTAGAGATAGTCTCGAAACTGATGCAAATAGCCCACTTGAGGGGTAGAAATTCCAATTTCCCGGGATAGAGATGGTAATTCTCCCCGTTTGGGGTCAAGTTGCGCGACCCATAAGCGACAACACGGAGAATGTCATCCTGATACTGATACAACACGGCGCCTAAGCCATCCTTTTAGGCGTCTGTATGGAGAACAAATGGTTTCTGTAAGTCAGGATACGCCATTACTGGAGCACTTTTGATTGAGTCAATAAGAGTCCGCAAGGCAGATTGATGAATGTCAGTGTTTTGCCGGTAATTGGCCATCGTCACTGCGTTCCTTCGTAGATTTATCCCGCTTAACTTCCTGTGGAGGACGACTACGTGTCTTCACCAGATCATAGATAGGGTTGGCGATTCTAGAAAAGTCTCTAACACACCGCCGGTAATAATTCAGGAAACCCATAAGTCTGCACACTTCATTAACTGTCTTTGGAGGCGAGTCTCTGAGTGCAAGTACAAGCTTAATGCTGGATGGATCTAGTTTGTATCCCTCTTTCGACACAATGCGCCTAAGGAATGTAACCTCTCTCTCAAACAATTTACATTTTCGAGGTTTCAGTTTGACTCTATGTTTTTTTAGTCGTCGAAGAACCTTGCGTCTGTTTTCAATGTGATCCTCAAAGGTGGCACTGAATATGATAATATCATCCAGGTAGGGTACACAGTCGCTGTCTCTCAAGTCTCCCAGACAGTTCTCCATAAAACGTTGGAATGATCCAGGCGCACGGGAAAGACCAAAGGGTATCCGGACCCACTCATAGAGACCCCAATGGGTAATGAAGGCTGTCAAAGGCTGGCTGTTTGAACTCATAAACTCTTGGTAGTAAGCTTTCCCCTGATCAAGAACAGAAAACCATGACAAGCCATTGAGGTTATCCAGCATTTCCTGTATTCGGGGTATCGGGTGGCGGTCGGGTCGTGTCTTTTTGTTCAGTGCTCTAAAATCCACGCACAGCCGTATACTTTGATATTTTTTTCTCTGTTCGCTGTACGAGGATGATGATTTCTTGATAAAATTCCGGTTTAACAAATCTTCAATGTAGGCCTTCATCTCTGGGTAGAGTGGTTAAGGTACTGCTACATAGTTCTTCTGTACAGGTGTCTGGTCCTCTAAATCTAGGTCAAGTTTAAGGTCAGGGATGCATCCTACATCATTATCATCTTTAGCAAAAGAATCAGCTTCCTCAGTAAGCAACTTTAAAGTCATCTCTTTCTGACCAGGTGTCAGACCTTCCAGGTCTATGTCCCTGATATGCAAGGGAATCCCCATCGGAACCCCTCCCAACCATTCATAACTGTTTGGACTGGCTCTGTAGTCCCTGATACTTTTACTCCGTTTTGTTGGGTGTCGTTAGTTCATTAACTTGTTTCATAAGTTCCTCATCAGTTAGCCCTGGGGTACGAGGGGTCGTTCTTAAGTTGGATGCTAAAATATCATCATGAGGACCAGTTTCGAAGGATTTTACAAATGTCTTCTGAATCAGCGAAAGGGCGCAATTAAAATTACAACCCGATTCCTGTCTGGCGAAATTTACCTTGTTACGCAGGTCCAAAGAATGGAGCAGGAATTGCTGTGGTGACTCATTGCTTTGTTGATGTTTATAACAGTTTCAGCTGAAGGGTTTACCCTAGTTAAATATGTTATCATTATTATTATTATTATTATTATTATTATTATTATTATTATTGTTAATACCTACTTTTTGATTACAGGATAGCTTTCAATTATGAGGAAAGCGCTTTGAGAGTAATCCACAACTTCTTGGTTCAATTGCACACCAAGATAATAGATTAATCTATCAGGAAGGTAGAAGGTATTTTCTGTCATTTTGATTTAAAATATCAATGAATGCATGGTGCGGAACTTGTCTGAATAAGTCTGATAAACTTATGACAAATGTACTTCATTCGTATTCAAATAATTGGTTGTTTGTTTAGCAGAGCGTCATCTTAGGTCTATCAGTTTATTGTGTTATTTTGATCTTGATTTTTGAAAAGCGGTAACCGTGAATGTCCTCAAGCTATCGCACATCACGCAAAGCCACAAGCGTGCGCGAGTCACGAAGACCACGAAGAATCAGCGAGGCATAGGAATTCTCTTTTATATAAGGACCATGTGACAATTTGCAATGTTAACAACTCAAATGAGTCGTCATATGATCTAAATTGAGTTGCTGCAGCGAAGTAACTCTTAAGGCAAAGTTTGCACAGCACGTTTTATTATCCATTACGGGTGCACATTTCTCCTACGTCACTTCTTTTTCAAAGGAGAATGGGTTTGAGGCAACAAGATCTCGCCTCCTTAAAGGCCTCTTGAGAATGATGGAAATATTTCCCCATTCCACATTAGTGGCTCAAGTTAGTGACCCATATACCCCAGAGACCCCTCCCCCCCGGTTTTATTGTTTCCATTGTCTCCCGCTTTCAAGTAGTTATTTCTGATTTTTTCTTTGGTCTGATATTTTTTAATTCCATATGAAGTAATGCCATGTATAACAGTGATAGCCATAAGGGGTCATTGAAAATGGCCTAATTTAAGTCACACCCATAAACCAAAAACGAAAATGAATAAATCAGGTTCAAACAGGAGAAGTAACAGGGTTCGATACAACATCATGGTAAAGAAAGTCCCTTTTTCCCCTCGAGGTCATCTGTTAAAAATATTTAAAAAGAGATCGTGGCATGTAGACTTTCATGCAGTATAAACCTCCCTTTCTTTCTGCCAAACCCAGGTAAAGAGAAGCACCAAAAACGTAGAATTAGAAACTTTGAAGATGTTAGCAAGTGTTTATTACGAAACGCAAAGCTTAGCTCCCCTTACATTTACCCTCAATTATCAGATCAAATCGATAATGAAAATAATAAACTAATGAAAATACTTCTAAAGCTGGCACAGTGATATTCCTGGTCGCAAACCGACGACATTCTTTCCTTTTCCTTAGCCGCGCTCAAGAGTAACTTAAAAGAGCCAAACCTTAAAAAAGGAACCTCAGATACATCGAGTCTGATTTCTAGGAGCTCGCGTCTATACCCTTTCTACCTGAAGAAGTTCGTGTGATGATTTTATCTCCCTCTGTTTCGGCCGACAAGAGAACTATTTTTATTTCATTGCCCTATAAAAAAACCTTATAAATCATATCTACTTTAAGATGCCCCGCGCTTGATCCCTTCTGATGTTGTTTTTTGCTTCTGAAGTCTTCCATTATTTTTTCCTCCCAGTGTTTGATTTAATTTGACAGATATGAAACCTCCAGCGACGATCACTGTGGCTAAAAGAAAAAAAAAAAGAAACATTCAGTCGTGAAGGTCGCAATATGAATAAAAGGGAATAAAATATGCTTTATTAAAGAAATTAAGACATAATCTCTACCAACAGTTCGATTTCACGAAAGGCTTTGTTTCTTAGAAATGGAACATTATACTTCATAGTATTTTAAGTGCAATCACGCATAACCTGAATAATAATCTGCAATGTAAAACCAGGGAAAGAAAAAAAAAAGAATGTCTACTTGTACTTAGGATTCTATTCACATACACCTACAGTGTACACCATATTCAAGATTTCTACCATGTCATACAAAATATTAAATCAAGGCTGATCTATAATGAGTGTAATGATGTGCCTTAAACTTTCACCTCATACTCTTGGATTTAACTTTTCACAAAAAGGACAAAGAAAACAACAACAACAACAACAACAACAAAATGGAATCACTGGATGTTAAATGCTATGCGGGAGATCAGAGTAGGCAAAAGAAAATAAGACATTGTGTACATTAGATAGTTATCTTGACACTTGACAATGGCAGGGTTGCGGGCAACAGACTATCACAAACATGTGCATCTGGGACTTAGCATTGTGCCAAATTATATGAAAACCAACCTCTGGACATTCACAGTTGTCAAAAGAAGCTTGTAAGAAATTCCTGGCAGCTGATTCGTACTTCCTAGTAGCAAGCTCTGCAAGGCCTATCAAGAAAAATTATGATAATTATAAGTGGGGATCAGCTAAAACTGTCTTTAGTGATTATAAGTGCTTAAATAATAATTATTATTTGTAAACTTGCTTGACAAAAGATAGATATACCTGCAGCACACTTCAGTTTGGTTAGAGTCACCAGATTTGGTTTTCTATCTTTCTGCTACAAAATTAGAAAATAACAAAATTTTGATTTTTGAAAATCTGGTGCCTTCATTTCTCTGTTGACTGGTTTGGATGCAAATGGCATGAAAATGAAAAGCAGACAATATACATAGACATTATTATATACATTAGACTTACTATGAAAACTCTGAGTGGTGAAGAGCATGCAGTCAATATTCAATTATAGCATGTGAAGTTGACTTGATAACCTAATATCTGGAGCAGATATTGAGTCACCATGTCAAGTTCAAAGTCTGCTTAGTTTCCAAGCACCACGTCTGTGTTTTGTTCTTAACTTTTGCAAACTTAGAGAGAAGTGCCTTCTTTTGCAGATTTTTTTAAAAAAATGTATAATAAAATAACTACTGAATTTGGTTTTTGCATGATATAAAGAATTAAAAAGCCTTGTAGTTGAGTTATCAGCCTCAGCCTTTGGCTTAGTGGATTACTCAGACCTCAGTAGTGATAACTCAGGATATCATGCTCAACCTCATCCAATAATTACTTGTTGTCATACATTTTTGATGCTGGTAACTCTCTCCTTTACCTGACCAGCAGCCTTCCATCTCTGGTATCAGTTTGTACAACATTTCATAATTTTTTTTTTCGGTACTCGTAATACATTAAATTTTCATTTTAACTCTTTTTTTTATTTTTACCTCAACTAATTCAGAAGTGTTCTCAGCCTTGTTTACATAATTCAGCACATGTGACCAGTTACCCAAGTGAATACTGACCTAAAACCACTGAAAATATAGTGTCGACAGAAATTAATAATGTGGGTGAAAAACAACCCACATTGTATACTTTGATTAATAAAAGTATTTCTTATAAATGCAGCTATTCAGCTTTCAATAAATATAAAGCATATAATATTGTGGTTGAAAGCTTTCCTTGGTTTTGACTTTTTCAGAAAAGTTTATATTAGTTTGATTTTCTTTTGACACATAATAACACATAAGATATACATAATCTGAAATAAGGGGGAAAAAACTCACACTGGATGACTACTTGGAAAAAATTTCCAAATCAAAGAAAAACGACAAACACTTGTACATGACAGTCAGTTAAATATCTTGTATTAATGAACAGTGCCCAGTTCCTTGTTCATAATAATCACACACAAAAAAATTTTCATAACTTTGATAGAGAAAAGATCTCTCCAAGGTCTTGTTAGGTACATGTACTTTCCAAGGATTGTAGTTCTTAATTAAATGATCATTCAATCACTGTATTTGTTGCTTTGATTTTCTCAGGGGAAAAAATCATTTTTTTGTAATTCAAATTCCATGTTTTTTGTTGTTGTATGCTTTAAGTGACTGGTATACTGCCATGATGTGCACAAAGTCTGATTACAAACAGGGTTGAAACTGACTAATATTGATAGCAAAAAATATGTGGCAGGGCCTACCTTGATGACATTAACGCACATATTGACGACATGTTTTGCTGTTGTGCAGTAGTCTCTGGCTCTTGAGTAACACTTTAATGCATTGCTATATGATACAATAGAGAAGTTATCAGTTAAAAGATTAACAGGTAAACACTGTTACTGAGAACAAAATCCTAAAATATTCAAGAAAAGACATAATCTTTCTATGAACTATGTGTGATAGTTTCAATGTGTAGTGAATGTAAATGGAAGGAGTCAGTAGAATTACCAAAAATTACAAATTATTTTAATTTCTGAGTCAACATTTCTTAGAGCAAAATTAGAAAAAAATACAGGACAAATTTTATAATAGCTGCTTGTGAATAATCATGCTAAAACAAAACTAACTTCAGGTCTCCACACTCAAAGTAATGATCCCCTAAATCATCATGTCCACGTCTGCCAAATAAAAGACATTTCTTGTAAGTAACAAATACAAAACTACACACATGGTGTACAAACTGAAACAGTTATGCTCATAATTTTCATTAAGTAATGAAGAGAAAGGACAACAAAGTTGTTTTAATAAAAAATTACAGTCTAGATCTACATGTAAATAAAAGTTAGAGCAGGCCACTTGAAGCCTGGTTAACACCCTTAATATTTAAATATAATGTAAAGGCATCATGCATGTTCAACTTGATGCCTCTCAAAAGTCAACACCATATTTAAAATTTTCAAACAAAAAGAGATGGTTATTTTGTAACAAAATCAAGGAAGAGTCTATTGATTGCAATTCACAGAACAAAGTAAAAGTTTTTTGCTGTACATGCATGCAATTCCATGAAAGGGATCAAAGGAATCTGAGAGTAATAAACACAGATTCATTAGTGTAAACAATGTACATGTAACAAGTGCTTTAATTAACCATCCGATGATAATAATTTGGTTTAGGGATAAAATTGCAAAATCTAAGTCACCATTAACTGACTTTTACCTGATGCTCTCTTTGATTGAGTTACTTTTATAATTTTTCAGGTCTGTATCAAGCTTCTCAAGCTACAAAAACAAAACAAGATGGGCATTTAAAAGAGAAAATATTCTCACTTTTAAAAATTTATTTCCTAATGACCTTGGTATGGGATTGTACCTACATCTTTCATTTGAAGAGCATGCACAATACTAACTGGATAGTCCTTTAGGTTTGACTTGTGCTTAAGGTGGATCTAAGTTGTTGTTGTTTTTTTCTTTTTCTCTTCCTTTGGAATAAACATTTAAGATCTTGCTCCACTGACTGAGAAATGTCACCTTTCAATAACAGCTGAGGGAAGCTGGCAGGTGACTGCTCATCAAAACAGCCAAGATAAATTACCTTAAGGGCGGCTTCTTAACTTGTAGTTTCAATCCAGGTGGCATCAACAGCCAGGCATTCCAATTCACTGCAGCTGCTGCAATATTGATTAAGATTGTATAAAGAAGCTGATACCAGGAAATCACTCACATCATATACCTACTTTTATGAAATTCAATATAAATTAGTTCATTTACAAAGCAACAGAACCAACTTTATGGATGGGCCAAAACATATAGCCACACTTCAGATTTCTCACAGTAAGATTGAATATTGGCAGTGCTTGCAGCTTACAATGATATATATTTAATATACAAGTTTTTGTAGAGCTGTACTTTGAGGCATTGTTCCCCATGACATATCATTTATCTCTTTATTAGCTTGTACATAAAATGAAATCCTACACATAAGACCAAATGCAACAAAACCAAAGAATGATTTCATGATGTTATTTTTCTCACTGTCTTTTTGTTCCTTTTTCACCAGGGTACACTTTAATGGAAATGTTAAATACTACATTCTAATTGACTCCAAGCAGAAAAAAAGACAAAACTTCTTTAGGGTTACAATTATTACAATTATTTACCAACATGTTTCACATAACTGAGGGCTATTCTACAGATATCAGTATCAAATAAAAGTTAAACAGAAAAAATTCTGGTCTGTATTGTAAAAATCTAGACTGTTTAAGAGTGTCCAGCTAATCACATTTGAGGACTTACAGCTGTAAGATGCTGACCCACTGAGATGCTTTAAATAGAAAAAAATAGATTTACACCATTTGCACCGGTATCGCAGAGGTCATGGGTTCAAATCCCGTACGGGCCTGAAATTTTTTTTCAGGTCCTATTTACAACTACTCGTTTCAGTAGTGTTCTTACAGCTGTAATTTCATCTTTCCACCGCAGTGCAAATATGTGAATTTTCATATATCTAAAATCTTAGATTTGTGTTGTTCTCAAAGACAGATGTAAAGGTTTTCCTACCAGAGTTGCAGATTCAAAGGTGAAATTGTCTTCTAAAGGAGGATGATCACCCTCTGGTGCTATGTCAACCTGCATGGGCTCTATAGGGTTCTGAATGAACAAAAAAAAAAAATACCATGTACACAACTTCACTACAAACTAAAACAAAAAGGTATTGTTTAACTCTTTCACTCCCAAGATCTCATTAGTAATTCTCATTTCTGTCTATCATACAATTCTTATGATGTAAGTTTGAAGAATTTGATATATGATCAACTAATAATCCCCTAATTGATGTTTTTATTTATGCTTATCACTAGTCTGCTTGGTAATGCATTGATATTGTAAGGAGAAATTCTACCTTGGTTCATCATGGGAGTTAAAATTGAAGATTAAGTTTCTCTATTTTAGTTTGTAAACTATCGCAGATGGTGAACTTTGATGGTTTTTGAACTTTGATGGTTTTTGAACTTTGATGGTTTGACACTTTTGACAGCTTTAGTCTTGTACTCAGATTATTTAACCATTCTAAAGGGATTCTGAAGCGTGCTTTATGAGAGTATAGAGCATTATAAAGCACTTAGGAAGCGGCTAGAGCACTCATCTATCTCTCTTATTACATATAAGTACATGACTCTACAATGAATGCATACAACATTACTGATCCTACTGTACTTGATTATGCAGAATGCCTGTGACATTTGAACAGGGTGTTTTGATTCGCCTGACTCGTTAACGAGCTCAGTGGTTGGAGCAGTCCAACGCAAAGTCTTAGAGTCTGAGAATCGAATCCTCTCGTAACCCTCAGATTTTTCTTTTGCGCCATCGTTGTGCCAAATGTACAATATCTTTCTCGAAACACTGTGCACAAGTATGAGCATGGTACAAAACCACAGCTCTGTCCTCATGCGTGTACACGCTATCGTCGGACAATTAATAAGTCGATTAATTATCATCCAGAAACCGTTAAATAGCTGAGTTCTACAGCTGATTGCAGTTTCATTTCCTCTCTCGCAGTCGATGGGTTTACGATGCATGTCATCGAATGGAGTGCTATTTTGAACACTAAATGAACGATCAAATTGTGATCTTGTCGCTTTACAAATACGAATCACCTATCAATATAGCAAAAAAAACTTTTACTCACCTCATGGGGCCGACCAATTCTCGCTGGTAAAGGCACTGTCACGAACTAAGAGTTGTAATAAACAGCCACTGTCCCAGTGCATAAAGTGCCAAAGCTACCAAAAAGTTGATGTATCCGTTATGTAGCACATCACCAAAATATAACCAAGCGGTAAACAAACAAAAGCTTTTCTGTCATGTAAAGATACATCTTGTGTCTTCTAATGTACTGACAGGTCAAATCTTATCCATTGAAAATTTGTTCATGTCAAAAGCTTTGGCAAAAATCAAACGTCTCCGGAGCAAACCCATCTTTATTTGTGATATTTGTTGTCCACGAGTGGGTAACGACAGAAGACGGTGTCTGTTGGACGAGTCTCTGTTCTTATTCTTTTTTTTTTCCTTTTTTTTTTTTATTATGATTGAGGGCGAAATTGGCGAGAGAGGTTCCCCAAAACAGATGGCTATCAGTGATTGGCCCATACAAGGATTGACAATTGATCTTTTGAGGAGAGAATTGTATGACAGCCGCGAAGGGGACTGGGACTTTTTTACTGAAAAAAACAAAAAAGATTTGTAATCTCGAGCCCAGGGTCATTTCGGCACCGCTGAAAATGAGCCGAAATGACCCTGGGCTCGAGATTGAAAAAAAAAAACAATTCCAAGAAGCTTTATTGACCAAGTGAAAGATCAATTTGGCAGGATATTGATCCAATGGCGAATCTGCGATCCACAAAAAAAACTTACACGCAAACTATTTTTTTTTCGGGCCTAAACCCTCAATGACTATACTTTACAGTGGTTTCCTCTGTTTCTTTGCGTTACATAATTAAGAAACGAAAGCTTTTACCACAGAAGGGTTCCTCTGAGAACACCTCAGCAAAATGTGCCTATGAAAAGCTCGTTAATGGTGAGTTAAATCTTTTTCATAGCGGTTATTTTACATAGTAATCGTTTACTAGATTTAACAAAGTGTAAAATTTCTTTTTATGGTTTATTTACAACGGCGTCTAATCACGATTTTGACATGATGAGAAAACCGCATGTTCCATGACATCAATAAAAGACATTTGGCCTTGATATTATATTTCTTTTAGACCCTGTCATCGAGCAGGTAAAGAATTTCTTGAAACATGGGCACTAATCTGCTTTCCATAAAATACTTCGAACCAGCCGTGCACATGTAAACGGAAGTTCAGCGACTGAATAATGGTAAATACAAATTCTAATCTTAGCAATTGGATCCGTTTCCTCAAGCGCAAGCGATTTCGCAGAGAAAGCGTTCTAAAAAGCGTCATTATCATCGTTATTAATGTCATCAGTTTTTTGGCGATTGAATCGTCTCTTAGCTGCTAAAAAAGCCATCAGTCCAAAGATACAAAGATTCACTCGTTATGTCTTCTTTCATCAGTTCTGTCTACACAAAGTCTCTTTTGAGGAACGTTTCTGGAAGCTGCAATCATAGAAAATATCTTACATGTTAAATGTTGTGGAAGATACTTATATTAGTGCTAGATGAAATCACTCAAAAGTATATAAGGTATCTATTCTTAATATTTGTTAGCACTGTTTCGATAATTTTGCGGTTTTGTAAACAACTATTGCTGATCATTTGTCTTTCAGGTTTTTCTTTACAATCCAAGCACAAAAAGATTGGGTTGTTGCTTTAACAGCTTTTTGAGACACCTCTTACCACCACTGGTGATCTGAAAATTACCAGACAAGCTCAAATATTTGACTGGACATTGCGCCCTCTGTAATGTCTGACATAGAGTGACAACACCATCGGTGACCTGGTTACCATTCAGATGAGGTGCTGTGACTTTACATGCTGGTGTCTGCAATGCTTGACATAGACTGGCAACACCAGCATCGGTGATCTGATTATGGCTCAGATCAAGTTCGGTGACTTTAAATGCTGCTGTCTGCAATGCTTGACATAGACTGGCAAAACCAGCATCGGTGACCTGATTATGGCTCAGATCAAGTTCGGTGACTTTACATGCTGCTGTCTGCAATGCTTGACATAGACTGGCAACACCAGCATCGGTAACCTGATTATGGCTCAGATCAAGTTCGGTGACTTTACATGCTGGTGTCTGCAATGCTTGACATAGACTGACAACACCAGCATCGGCGATCTGATTTCTACGCAGATCAAGTGTGGTGACTTGACATGACGGTGTCTGTAATGCTTGACATAGAATGGCAACACCAGCATCGGTAACCTGATTATGGCTCAGATCAAGTTCGGTGACTTTACATGCTGCTGTCTGCAATGCTTGACATAGACTGGCAACACCAGCATCGGTGATCTGATTATCACTCAGATCAAGTTCGGTGACTTGACATGCTGCTGTCTGCAATGCTAGACATAGACTGGCAACACCATCCGATCTGCATCGGTGATGACATGATTCTGTGCTTGACCGACCGTGACAACACCAGCATCGGTGATCTGATTATCACTCAGATCAAGACTGGTGACTTTACATGCTACCGTCTGCAATGCTTGACATAGACTGGCAACACCAGCATCGGTGATACGATTATCACTCAGATCAAGTTCAGTGACTTTGCATGTTGGTGTCTGTAATGCTTGACATAGACTGGCAACACTGGCATCAGTGATTTTACTTCCTTCCAGAGACAGTTCAATCACTTTGGTCAATGGCAACGATTCTGCAATCGTAGCAACACATTCGTCTGCCATTAAGCAGCAACGAAATTCAAGAGAAGTCACAGTGCAGAGCTCGTTCTTCAGAAATTTACATATTTGTCTTAATCCAGTTTGTGTAATATGACAATCAACGAGAAGCAATACATGCGGTGCTCCTCTTGATTGGTGCGAGGATGTTTGACTCCTCTCAACAGTTCCCTGTTCACACGGCACGACGCGCCTAAAAAGATTTGGTCGATTACCTAACGGCTTATGAGACCGTTGAAATGTTGGTTGATTCGTTTCATCCTTTTCTTCTGCATTCAATGTACTGATGACATCCAACAGAAAAGATACTGCGATGCAGTCCACTTCTACAAATGATATAATTTGATCAAAATGAAAAAGCTGCCTACAAAATTTCTTTACGAAATTTAGGGCAAATTCCTTGTCATGGTACTCAGCCAGACACTTCAATATTAGTGGCCCTACAGAAGGCATAGACTGAGACCTTTGAATGAGTCCTCTGAGCAATTTGCGCATAAAAGCTTGGTCGTTTTGCTTTAATAAAATGCCCGACATAAATTGGAATACCATTCCTGAGGCATTTTCAGAGTAAGATGGAATTTCTCTTTGCTTCACAAACCAACGAGCCGCCAAGTATTCCAGGAGAGTTAAGTGAGTGAAGCAAAAATATTTCGTCGTTTCAGAAAATGATTTTCTAAACGGTGGACCGCAATGGAGAAGACCACTTGCTTTGAGGCTTTCAACTTCTTCCGAAGAAAACCTTTTCATGTCGTCAACATCACTAAAGAGATACTCCTTTTTTCGGAGCAAATGAGCCGCAAACTCTGACAATTTATCCAGCGTTTTCTCTGGAGGGGCTCCTTTCGTTCTGCTATGCGCTCTGAGAAACATGTTGATCACTTCCGAATAGATGTCACCCATACTGACAGGAAGAGCATCAGTGTTCATCGATTCATTTAATATGTACTCAAAATATGAGCACATCAGAAAACAGAGAACTGGAATATGGGCAAAGCTAACAAGATTGTCATTCTTTGTGATGTGATCCATTACAGCATTTTTCATGACTTCGTTTTCTTTGAAATACTTTTCAATGTATTTCTTCACCTGCTCCTCGGAAAACCCTGTAATTTCAACGTACCGATCAAAGGGTATTTTACCTTTCACTTGATCGTATTCATCGGGCCTTGACGTCATCATGACAACCGAATCTTTCAAGATTTTCCCTTTGATTAGCTTGGCACACAGTGCTGCTACTGGCATTTTCTCTTGGGCGCTATTCGGATATCGGTTATCCAAATCATTAGCGATTAAATTTTGTTCTGAATACTCTTCAAAGCCGTCTAGAATAATCAAAACATCTTCAGAATGACCAACAATGTACTCAAATAAAAAGTCGTCGATATTTGAGTGTTCATCTAACACTGAAGATAGGTTCAGGATCTCCCTCAAAGTAAAACACTTATCTCCCAGCAAACTCAGTTGACTAAAAGTCAGTAAGTAAGCGAACTTAAGGTCAGGCACGTTTCGATTACTTTGTGGTTGAAATAATTTGTTGTCAGCCCAATCTCGAATTAAATTTTGGCAATAGACAGTTTTCCCAATCCCTGCCTTCCCAGTGATTAGTACAGATTTAGGATTCATTTCGTCGTTACGATCACGTTCAGAAAGGAAAATTTCTTGCGAGTGTTCCACTGGTTTTCCTTTTACTCGACCGTACTGCTCAAGTTGTTCTCTTCTTTCCATATCTGGGTCTTCAACTGGCTTTCTTCCATGTTGTATCAGAAGGCTGGTGAATATGTCATCTGTTCTTACCTTATTAGATGAGATGGGAGAAGCTACATTGACGAACTCTGTTTGCTTTTTAATCGATTCTTTCAACGCGTTTGTGTATGCTGAAACAGCTGGAGAGGAATACAAGAGTTGCGTTAATTTTATAATAAAAATAGCGTTTTTGAAACTGCTATGGTCTTGTGTGTCAAGACCAAGCTCCAGTTGGTATTAGTTTCAAAGTGTGTCCATGATTTAACTTGCTTTAATTGATAAATTGAGGATTCAGAGGTTAACACCCTATGGCTGATGCAGTAAAACATGATGCCGTGCACAGATTGAACCGTTAACAAACAATACCTTTGTCTCCCGGTTTCTTTATAGGGCTAACGATTGCATCCTTTAATTCATCCAGTCTTTCTTTGATGCTGACTTCAGCCGCTACCCATTGTTTAAGAAGCTCTTTAGAGTGTTCTTCGAAATCAGGGTCTATGCATTCCTTTTTCAGATCATCAATAGCACTTTGGTAACCAGCTCCTCCCAGTCTCACCAATGCATCTTGGATGTCTTTCCAGTATTGATTGAATGTTGGGTCATCAACTGAGGCCTCGCTGGCATGACCATAAACTGTGTTTCTGTAGCACTTGATGCGAACGATATCTGCCTCAAGGGTTGTGTCTGTTGCAGGAGGAAGTGTATCCCAGCCGGTAGCTGGACGAACAAGACCGCATATATTCCTCAGCAAAACCATCAGTAGAGTGATATCGAAATTCTTTGATGAAACTGCAGATTTGATGGCTTTAGGATATAGTTGTCCCCATTGGGAAGGATTAAGAATTCCTTTCTTTCGAAGTGATTGTAAGACTGCATGAACTGGAGGACTTAACAAAACTGTGTGCAGGTCTCCTGTTGGACGCCTCTTCTCAAAAGTCTCTCTCAAGATACGTGCACTAACATCCACCAGAAGCCTGCATAAGCGGGCGTAATTGGTTGTCTCTTTTGTCGAATGAAACGAAGGTGCTGCGGCGGTGGCCATGAAGAAATACTGGATCTTTAATCAATTAATTGAAAAGAAGTAAAATTAGTCAATATTTAACGTTGAGATAATATGTATCCAATTACATAATTACAAACTGTTATCAGATCTGGACAGGAAGTGAATTTGGCATATGATTTTCACCAGGCAAGGTAATTTTCAAGTGTTCTGTGCTTGATAATTTGGCATTTTCCTTATTTATTTTATGAAATACCATCCACAACATAAAATCTTGTATCAAAAAATGAACTTGGACTCAACTCCGCTTCAAATTATTTGTCAGGAAGAATATTGAACGATCACCTCGCTATTATTATAATTACCGATACGTCTGAAGGCTTGTTTATTACAGATTTTACTGATGCTACTTTTCAATATTCCTTGAACACATCTAAACACAGGTTACTAGTTTAAGTTGCCCCAGATTTGTTTTGTTTTGTTTTGTTTTTTTCTTGGTGTGTGTGAAATTTTGCTTATGATAGTTTTTATACTCTTCGGTCTCGTGATTTGTCCGATAGCGTGGCATAGCAAGGCAAGAACTGAAGTAAGCATGGATACCTTTTACAGGAGAGTCGAGGAAAGCGGGAGGCGAACGCGCGCGAGGCGAACGCTCACGAGAAGCGCGTTAGGAGAGTAGTTTGTAAAACCATACCGCTCCTTTCTTCGCACTCGCATTAGTTTGCTAAAGCTCGCCTAAAAAGGTGGCCTCACTTAAAGATCATTTACTTCAAATGAAAGTAACTATGGACGTGAAAAAAAGGAAGAAAAAAGGAATTGTTACGCAGACTGCAGGCATACAATAAACGTTCTCAGATGACTTCATAATTATGTAGCTTGTAAAACCAATGGTCATTCCCAAGATAGACTAAGGCCAAATAACTCTCTTTTTCCATGTAATATCGTAAAAACAATTGGTTTTCAACTTAAATTTCAAAAGCTTACTGTCTTGGCAGCGCGATGGCAACATGTTGAAAAAATCGATAAGGAAGTCAAACTGAGTTCCTCACTGTAGCTTCTCCCACCTCATCTAACTTAAAGGTAAGAACCGGTGACATCTCCATTTTTCTGGTACGACACGGAAGAAAGCCAGTTGAAGCCCTTGATATGGAAAGAGAGGAATGACTGCAGCAGTACGGTCGAGTAAGCGGAAAACCAGCCGAACTCTCTCAAGATATTTTCATTTTTAAAACCGATTGTAACCGTGACGTATTCAACAAGATGGAAAAATTAGTATCCAAAAGAAGAAATCTCAAAAAATTTTGAAAGCAAACGGCTAAAGTCAATTTGTGTTAATGTCTCAATTGTGCTTTAAATGGCCAGTGACGCATGAAATATCAAACAGTGCGAGCAAAAAAGTTTACGCGATATTTGCTAGATGGCAAACTGATCGTTAAGTTGTAAAGATCCACAGGGGTTAAGGGAACAATGGAACTAAAATATCTTCAGTTTGGATTGAGGGATTATGGAAACAATTAAAAAGAAAATGGGTGAAAGTGGAGCACTTAAAATAACATTGCGTTCATGCCGTTTCTTAATTAAGAACAGTAGTATACTTCGACATTTAAACCAGATATTTAAGGATTTTAAACCAGGCAAGTACTTCAAACATCAATGGAGCAAAACTACCCGGAATTGAAACGAACAAAACTGCCAACAAAGGGTTTTTAGTATGTCGATATTGTAATTGGATACGCTTTGATCTCTTGGTATTTTAGTTTCCTAGGCATCATACTCTGTATATTTGTTGTTTTGGTAGGCACATGATCAATCAAACCCATATAAATTTTTAGATAGGTTTTGTTCTCAAGAGGACCAAATTAAACGATTTTTCTCGTTTTATTTAGAGGAAGCTCGATAAAACTCAGTCTTAAACTATATCTTAACAGTATCAAGATCCTTAAGTGTCAGCGAGCCTCAACATTCGATGTAAACATTCACGTTTTAAGTTATGATACGGAAACCTTATTGCCATGGCTTCACCATTTTTTTCACGAAATCAGTATCACCAATGCCTAATTCAAGAATCGAACGCGATTTCAAATGACGAAAGGTCAGAAAAATATCGATCTCCCCTCGGAAATAAAACGTAACCAGAGATGAATATCTTACCTCTTGGGTTGTGGACCTGATCACACCACCAACAAAGCGCTCATTAATCCATTGTCCTCAATAACCAAGTTTTGATCCGTGCACAAGTTGTAAATCGCTTTCAGCCAGTCTCAAGAGCGAATGGTTAGGAAGACAATCAACAAGAACTAGGATACAAGCTAGATCAGTTTTTTCAAGCCTCTCTATTCCACCTGAAACAAATAAAACGACGCACGCTGAATACAAAACATGCAGTGCGTTCTTAAGAAGCATCCAGAGACTTTCAGTTTCGCAATCCTAACCTTTTGCCCTCCTCTTTCTATTCCTATCATTAATGCCAAATGACTCCACAGATGACAGATAGCTTCAATTATGAGGAAAGCGCTTTGAGAGTAATCCACTACTCTCTGGTTCCATTGCACACCAAAACAATCTATCAGGTAGCTTTAAGGTTTTATCTGTCATTTTGATTTAAAATATCAATGAAACTTAAGGTGCGGAACTTGTCAGAATAAGTCTGATTAATTTACGACAAATTAACTTCATTCATATTTGAATAATTGGTTGTTTGTTTAGCCGAGCGTGATCTTAGATCTATCAGTTTATTGTGTTATTTTGATCTTGATTTTTAAAAACGGGTATTCATGAATATCATCAAGTTATCGCACATCACGCAAGGCCACTAAAGTGCGCAAGAAAAACATAGTTAAGTGCTTTCGAGAAAAACATCATTAAGCTGTAATCTGAGATCAAAAAGGGTTAGGGGAAGAGTGGAACTTAGGCAACTGTAACTGGGAAATGGGGAACAAATGAGGGATTATGGGTATAACTAAAACGCAAATCTAAAATGGAATTTCTTTCAGAGAGTTTTTTAAGAACAGGAGTATTCCTCGATATTTTAAGGCGATCTGCAAAAAGCGAGGTTGTTTGCCACCGCTTGAACGGCTTTTAAGGATTTTAAACCAAGCAAGTACTTTCAATAACAATGGACCAAAACTAGCAAAACTACCGAATTGAAACGAACAAAACAACCAACCGATTATGTAGGGAGACAATACTCTGACGGGCGGAATAAGCAATGCAGGTTAGATGAAACAATGGTGGAGTTTATTCTGTTTCTACTCTATTCACCATGGAAGGAATTATAACTAAGACTAAATTGTAAGAACTTCTTAACCTACAATCTTTCATCTTGAATCAGATATTTAAGTTAACTTATTGTGTCGATGCTGTTACTGGATACGTTTTAATCTCTTGGCATTTTCTGGTTTCAAAGGCATCATGCCCTGAATATTCGTTATTTTTGTAACCGCATAACTAATCAAACCCATTTAACCGTAAAGTTGATAAGTTTTGTTCTCAAGAGGACCAAATCACACGATGTCTCTCATTTCCTTTAAAGCATGCTTGATAAAGACCTAGTCTTTTTTTCAATAATAACAGTATCACGATCCTTAAGTGTCAGTGAGCCTCCACATTCGATGTAAACATTCATGTTTTAAGTCGTGATACGGAAACCTTATTACCATGGTTTTTTCCATTTTTTTTTCAAGAAATAAAAGTCAGGTATTACTAATGCGTAATTTAAGAGTCGAATGCCGATGCAATTGGCGAAAGATCAGAGAAAAATCGATCTCCTTTCGGAAATAAAACGTAACCAGAGATGAATATCTTACCTCTTAGGCTGTGGACCTGATCACCCCCACCTACAAAGCGCTCTTTACTCCATTGTCCTCAATAACCAAGTTTTGATCCGTGTACAAGTTGTAAATCGCTTTCAGCCAGTCTCAAGAGCGAATAGTGAAGAACACAGTCAACAAGAACTAGGATACAAACTGGATCAAATTTTCAATTCTCTCTAATCCGCCTGAGACAAATCAAATGACGCCCGCTGATATGCAACTTGAAACAGTGTGTTCTAAAGAAGCATCCAGAGACTTTTTAGTTTCGAAATCCTAACCTTTTGCCCTCCTCTTTTTATTCCTATTATTCATGCCAAATTATCCAGCAGATCACAGATAGCTTCCAATTATGAGGAAAGCGCTTTTAGAGTAATCCACTACTCTCTGGTTCCATTGCACACCAAAACAATCTATCAGGTAGCTTTAAGGTTTTACGTGTCATTTTGATTTAAAATATCAATGAAACTTAAGGTGCGGAACTTGTCAGAATAAGTCTGGTTAATTTACGACAAATTAACTTCATTTATATTTGAATAATTGGTTGTTTGTTTAGCCGAGCGTGATCTTAGGTCTATCAGTTTATTGTGTTATTTTGATCTTGATTTTTAAAAACGGGTATTCATGAATATCATCAAGTTATCGCACATCACGCAAAGCCACTAAAGTGCGCAAGAAAAACATAGTTAAGTGCTTTCGAGAAAAACATCATTAAGCTGTAATCTGAGATCCACAAAGTGTTAGGGGAAGAGTGGAACTTAGGCAACTGTAACTGGGAAATGGGGAACAAATGAGGGATTATGGGTATAACTAAAACGCAAATGGGTGTCGGCGGAGCATCTAAAATGGAATTTCTTTCAGAGAGTTTTTTAAGAACAGGAGTATTCCTCGATATTTTAAGGCGATCTGCAAAAAGCGAGGTTGTTTGCCACCGCTTGAACGGCTTTTAAGGATTTTAAACCAAGCAAGTACTTTCAATAACAATGGACCAAAACTAGCAAAACTACCGAATTGAAACGAACAAAACAGCCAACCGATTATGTAGGGAGACAATACTCTGACGGGCGGAATAAGCAATGCAGGTTAGATGAAACAATGGTGGAGTTTATTCTGTTTCTACTCTATTCACCATGGAAGGAATTATAACTAAGACTAAATTGTAAGAACTTCTTAACCTACAATCTTTCATCTTGAATCAGATATTTAAGTTAACTTATTGTGTCGATGCTGTTACTGGATACGTTTTAATCTCTTGGCATTTTCTGGTTTCAAAGGCATCATGCCCTGAATATTCGTTATTTTTGTAACCGCATAACTAATCAAACCCATTTAACCGTAAAGTTGATAAGTTTTGTTCTCAAGAGGACCAAATCACACGATGTCTCTCATTTCCTTTAAAGCATGCTTGATAAAGACCTAGTCTTTTTTTCAATAATAACAGTATCACGATCCTTAAGTGTCAGTGAGCCTCCACATTCGATGTAAACATTCATGTTTTAAGTCGTGATACGGAAACCTTATTACCATGGTTTTTCCATTTTTTTTTCACGAAATAAAAGTCAGGTATTACTAATGCGTAATTTAAGAGTCGAATGCCGATGCAATTGGCGAAAGATCAGAGAAAAATCGATCTCCTTTCGGAAATAAAACGTAACCAGAGATGAATATCTTACCTCTTAGGCTGTGGACCTGATCACCCCCACCTAAAAAGCGCTCTTTACTCCATTGTCCTCAATAACCAAGTTTTGATCCGTGTACAAGTTGTAAATCGCTTTCAGCCAGTCTCAAGAGCGAATAGTGAAGAACACAGTCAACAAGAACTAGGATACAAACTGGATCAAATTTTCAATTCTCTCTAATCCGCCTGAGACAAATCAAATGACGCCCGCTGATATGCAACTTGAAACAGTGTGTTCTAAAGAAGCATCCAGAGACTTTTTAGTTTCGAAATCCTAACCTTTTGCCCTCCTCTTTTTATTCCTATTATTCATGCCAAATTATCCAGCAGATCACAGATAGCTTCCAATTATGAGGAAAGCGCTTTTAGAGTAATCCACTACTCTCTGGTTCCATTGCACACCAAAACAATCTATCAGGTAGCTTTAAGGTTTTACGTGTCATTTTGATTTAAAATATCAATGAAACTTAAGGTGCGGAACTTGTCAGAATAAGTCTGGTTAATTTACGACAAATTAACTTCATTTATATTTGAATAATTGGTTGTTTGTTTAGCCGAGCGTGATCTTAGGTCTATCAGTTTATTGTGTTATTTTGATCTTGATTTTTAAAAACGGGTATTCATGAATATCATCAAGTTATCGCACATCACGCAAAGCCACTAAAGTGCGCAAGAAAAACATAGTTAAGTGCTTTCGAGAAAAACATCATTAAGCTGTAATCTGAGATCCACAAAGTGTTAGGGGAAGAGTGGAACTTAGGCAACTGTAACTGGGAAATGGGGAACAAATGAGGGATTATGGGTATAACTAAAACGCAAATGGGTGTCGGCGGAGCATCTAAAATGGAATTTCTTTCAGAGAGTTTTTTAAGAACAGGAGTATTCCTCGATATTTTAAGGCGATCTGCAAAAAGCGAGGTTGTTTGCCACCGCTTGAACGGCTTTTAAGGATTTTAAACCAAGCAAGTACTTTCAATAAATGGACCAAAACTAGCAAAACTACCGAATTGAAACCAACAAAACAGCCAACCGATTATGTAGGGAGACAATACTCTGACGGGCGGAATAAGCAATGCAGGTTAGATGAAACAATGGTGGAGTTTATTCTGTTTCTACTTTATTCACCATGGAAGGAATTATAACTAAGACTAAATTGTAAGAACTTCTTAACCTACAATCTTTCATCTTGAATCAGATATTTAAGTTAACTTATTGTGTCGATGCTGTTACTGGATACGTTTTAATCTCTTGGCATTTTCTGGTTTCAAAGGCATCATGCCCTGAATATTCGTTATTTTTGTAACCGCATAACTAATCAAACCCATTTAACCGTAAAGTTGATAAGTTTTGTTCTCAAGAGGACCAAATCACACGATGTCTCTCATTTCCTTTAAAGCATGCTTGATAAAAACCTAGTCTTTTTTTTCAATAATAACAGTATCACGATCCTTAAGTGTCAGTGAGCCTCCACATTCGATGTAAACATTCATGTTTTAAGTCGTGATACGGAAACCTTATTACCATGGTTTTTCCATTTTTTTTTCACGAAATAAAAGTCAGGTATTACTAATGCGTAATTTAAGAGTCGAATGCCGATGCAATTGGCGAAAGATCAGAGAAAAATCGATCTCCTTTCGGAAATAAAACGTAACCAGAGATGAATATCTTACCTCTTAGGCTGTGGACCTGATCACCCCCACCTAAAAAGCGCTCTTTACTCCATTGTCCTCAATAACCAAGTTTTGATCCGTGTACAAGTTGTAAATCGCTTTCAGCCAGTCTCAAGAGCGAATGGTAAAGAACACAGTCAACAAGAACTAGGATACAAACTGGATCAAATTTTCAATCCTCTCTAATCCGCCTGAGACAAATCAAATGACGCCCGCTGATATGCAACTTGAAACAGTGTGTTCTAAAGAAGCATCCAGAGACTTTTAGTTTCGAAATCCTAACCTTTTGCCCTCCTCTTTTTGTTCCTATTATTCATGCCAAATGATCCAGCAGATCACATAATGCAACACGCAATTTTGCTTTGATTTTGTTTGGAACAGCTAAGCTCCTTCTAGATATAAATCTTTAGAACGACTTCAAACGAGGGCCTTAAGAATTATTCCGAAGGATAGTAATCTTAGTCGCCATCAACTGTTGTGCCAATTAAGTTGGAAGTCCCTTAAGGCACGTTCTAATATGCACAATTTAACTTATGTTTATAAGTGTCTCCAAAACATTGCTCCAGATCTTATTAAGAGTTATTTTATTAAGTCTTCAGATGTTTATTCCATTAGGGGTAATGGATTAGATATTTTGATTCCTAAAGTTCGTACCGAATCTGCCAAGAAAGGAACATTTTATAGTGGAGCCCAGGCTTTCAATGACTTGCCACCGCATCTAAAGGAAGTTGACTCTATAGTAATTTTTAAAACACAGCTTAATAATAATTTTTTAGAGTTCTGGTTAAACGTTTGGATTTTTTTTCTATTTACTTATTTTAGTTATATACTTCTTAGCTTTTATCCATCGACATTGTACATAGTGTTTACATTTTTCTGATTGTTCATCTTCAATAGTTATTTTTTTCCTTAACTGTTAATTTTTCAGTTGCCCAAGGCACCCGTTTATAACAGCTTCAGCTGACGGGTTTACCTTGTTTAAATATGTTTTTACTATTATTGTTATTATTAATACCTATTTTTTGATAACAGGATAGCTTTCAATTATGAGGAAAGTGCTTTGAGAGTAATCCACTTCTTCCTAGTTCCATTGCACACCAAAACAATCTCTCAGGTACGTATAAGGTTTTATGTGTCATTTTGATTTAAAATATCAATGAAACTTAAGGTGCGGAACTTGTCAGAATAAGTCTGATTAACTTATGACAAATGAACTTCATTCGTATTTAAATAATTGGTTATTTGTTTAGCAGAGCGTGATCTTAGGTCTATCAGTTTATTGTGTTATTTTGATCTTGATTTTTAAAAAGCGGTAATCATGAATATCATCAAGTTATCGCACATCAGGCAAGGCCACGAAAGTGCGCAAGTCACGAGGACTACGAAGAATCCGTGAGGTAAATAAATTCTCTTTCATATAAGGACTGTGAGACAATTTGCAATGTTAACAACTCAAATGAGGTGTCATATGATCTAAATTGAGTAGCTGCAGCGAAGTAACTCGTTGCAAAAAGAAAATTTTATACAGCACGTTTTGTTATCCATTACGGGTGCCCATTTCCCCTTTGCCACTTTTTTTCAAAGGAGAATGAGTTTGAGGCAACAAGATCTCTCCTCCTTAGAGGCCTCATGGGAATGATGGAAATATTTCTCCATTCCACATCAGTGGCTCATGTTAGTGGCCCAAATACCTCAGAGACCCTCCCCCCCTTGGTTTTATTGTTTCCATCGTCTCCCGCTTTCACGTAGTTATTTCTGATTTTTTTTTGGTCAGATCTTTTTTAATTCTTATGAAGTAATTCCATGTAAAATAATGGTAGCCATAAGGGGTCATTGAAAATAGCCTAATTTAATTCACACCCATAAACTGAAAACGAAAATAAATAAATCAGGTTCAAACAGGAGAAGTAACAGGGTTCGATATAATATTGTGGTAAAGAAAGTCTCTTTTCCCCTTAAGGTCATCTGTTGAAAATATTAAAAAAGGAGATAGCAGCATATAGACTTTCATGCGGTATAAACCTCCCTTCCTTTCTGCCAAACCCAGGTAAGAGATGCACCAAAAACGTAGAATCAGAAACTTCGAAGGTATTAGCAAGTTTTTATTACGAAACTCGAAGCTTAGCTCACCTTACATTTACCCTCAGTTATTAAATCAAATCGATGAAGACAATCTAATGAAAATACTTCTAAAGCCGGCACAGTGATATTCCTAATCGCAAACCTACGACATTCTTTCCTTTTCCTTAGCCGCGCTCAAGAGTATATAATAGCGTGTAGACTTTCATTCGGTATAAACCTCCCTTTCTTTCTGCCAAACCCAGGTAAGAGATGCACCAAAAACGTAGAATCAGAAACTTCGAAGATATTAGCAAGTGTTTATTACGAAACTCAAAGCTTAGCTCACCTTACATTTACCATTAGTTATCAGATCAAATCGATGAAGACCATCTAATGAAAATACTCCTAAAGCCGGCACAGTGATATTCCTAATCGAACACCGACGACATTCTTTCCTTTTCCTTAGCGGCGCTCAAGAGTAACTTAAAGAGCCAAACCTTATAAAGGAACCTCTGATATAATAAGTCTGATTTCTAGGAGCTCACGTCTATACCCTCTGTACCTGAAGAAGTTCGTGTGATGATTTTATCTCCCTCTGTTTCGGCCGACAAGAGAACTATTTTTATTTCATTGGCTTATAAAAAAAAAAACCTTATAAATCATATCTATTTTAAAATGCCCTGCGCTTGATCCCTTCTGATGCTGTTTCTTATCCGTCTGAAGTCTTTCATTTCTTTTTCCACGCCATGCTTGATTTAATTTTACAGATACGAAACTTCAAGCGACGATCACTGTAACTAAAAGAAAAAAAAACAGTGTCTTCAAAAAAACGCGTTACTTGAACGTGAAAAAAAAAAAAGAAACATTATTCAGTCATGAGGGTCGCAATATGAATAAATGGGAATAAAATATGCTTTGTTAAAAAAAAAATTAGACTTCTAATCACTACCAACAGTTCGATTTTCACGAAAGGCTTTGTTTCCTAGAAATGGAACATTATACTGCATAGTATTTTAAGTGCAATGACGCATAACCTGAATAATACTTAAATAGCACCTTTTAATAATAATGAAAACCCATCATTGTTGAACGTAAGAAAAAAGATTACAAACCTCGAGCTGTGATCACTGACCACACCAACTACGGTGTAACCCGAATGAGCTCTATAGTTCAAAAGTCCTCTGTACACGTTTTTGTACCCCGTGGTCTTGCAGAATCGACGTTTGTAGCCCTCCACGTGACAGCAACGGAATTTTACTCTAGAAAGAAAAAAATGGCATAAAAGATCTTAATGTATTGTAGGTCTAGACGAGAAGTTGTTTGTTGTCTTTAGTTTACATCGCTCCTTGTGTTTGACTTTTGTCTCACATCTTTGGGTGCATTTTGAAAATTTGAGCCTGAATTTTTAAGATCTCCTTAAAGAAAAAAAAAGAAAAAAATGGCATAAAAGATCTTAATGTACTGTAGGTCTAGACGAGAAGTTGTTTTTTGTCTTTAGTTTACATCGCTCCTTGTGTTTGACTTTTGTCTCACATCTTTGGGTGCATTTTGAAAATTTTAGCCTGAATTTTTAAGATCTCCTCCATCGTCAAAACGATTTGGATCATTGAGGAGGGAATGAAGGAAGCAAGCCAAGAAGCCTTCAAATGTAAGACTTACAGGTTGAAATGAAGTCGACGTTCGCGAAGGGCTTAAATTTCCCGTTCAGGTTCGTATCTCAAGTCTAAACATGTTTTGCTAAATTTAATTTCGTCCCCTCTCTAATAATATTTCTTTTCATTTCGTGTTATTGTGGTATTTTATTTATTGTTTTTGTGAGGAGCTCTTAACCTTGTCCTAAAACTTTTTTTCTGCCGAGGAAACGTTTTTTTGTGAGTGATTTATCCATAAGAAAAATTAATTGAGGACATCGCCAAAGGAAAATAAATAAATAAAAAAATAAACCTAGGTACCTGCGATCTTTAGTGACCGTATTGAAATAGCTCACAATTCCAGTGATAAATCCATGCGACTCACACGTGAAGAAAAAATCGGAGGAACCTGTCTTTCCGTTCGGAAAAAAACCAGACCAGACGCAGTCTTCGCTTGCGCGGTAAATAGCAGGAGCAAGGTTACAGCGGAAATGATGAATGCGATCCTTCTGACATTTTCGGAAAACACTAATCCACCAGAACATTGAATAGCCTAGTATTAAGATATAAGGCAAGTTAGCAACAGGTCCCTTTTCAGAGAGTTCAAACATAACTATATTCACGGGGCAAACAAAGGGTAAAGGCGAATTCCACAGCTTTTGATGAGCTTTAGAACGAGTTAAAGAACTTTACTCAACTTCAAGTGCCATTTCTGTCATCCAAAGTAATAAAAATGATAAAGATAAAATCATGCTCATAAAAAAGATATTGCTAGTTCGGTAGAATAACAGAGTTTGCAGTCTTACTGTTAGGGCAATACGCGCGGAATGACTGCTGCCATGCGTTGGACCATCTCTTTGCTTGGCCCCCAATCGTTAACGACGGAAGAAATGAGTTGCAAGGCTGCGGCGGAGGTGGCGGTGGCGGTGGCGGTGGCGGTGGCGGTGGAGGCGGGGATCGACGCCGTCGACGTCTCCACGCAGTTGCATTATCTGTACAAAACAGCAAATCCATCCCCACAATCAACAAAGTAAGAAGAACCAACTTTTTTCGCAACATGATCACTGAGCTGAAAATAAAGGAAAGAGTGCAATCACTAGAATCCCAATTAAAATCTAAAGGATACTCCCGTCATCAATGAGTTAGCCCCTGATGTATAACAATTCTGATGATCTAGAAAAGAATGACTTACTTCCAGTTGAAACTTCAAAGCTTTGTGTGACCTTGAAAACGCAAGTTGTGTGAAAACTGATAGGTTTCGAAAATGTCCTTCTAGCGCTTTGGTATACAAAAGCGATGAAATATAAATTCTGTTAGCTAAATATATCTGCTAGTGAATTACGTGTCAGAGCCTGAGGGCAAAACAAGTTTACGAAACAGTTTATCATGTTCAAAGAGTAAACTTTCGCATAAGGAGTAATATTCTTCCGTTAGTGCCAATGATCAAAATAAAATCACCACAAAATTTTGAAATTTTGATAAATTTGAAAAGTACAGCGGCAAAAAGGATATTCAGCGTTTGATCAGCTCTATTATAGTGGGAAAAAAATGCCATAAACTTTCATTCGCTGGGAATTGGCAGACTTCCTGTTTATTAAGTCCACTTTATTTCACTAACCCCATAAAATCGTTGAATAATTGAAGTGCTTCAAGGCCATGGCCTCTAGTGAATGTAAAGCGTCATACATACAAAATATTTTCGAATCATTTCTAACAAGTTCTCTTTCTTTTCAATGAGATCTGACCTTGTTTTGAATATTATAAACTCGCTTGTTTTGAATTAAAATTTTTAATTGTGAAGCGATTTTTTTGCCTTTTCACTGCCCCATTTTTGACTCTAGTATTTTCCTGAAAATTGCCTGAGTATAATCTAAATGCCACCCAGTACCGCTTAACCCAACAAATTTTTTGATTTATGGCGGTAAATAATAAAACCTTGCTGTGATTATCAAGCTTAATTTAATCTTGATGTATTCTTGTTTTCGCGACGAATAACGAATAAGGCATTCGAGAGGAGCAAACGCCGCAGCTTGCCTGTACTAGCGTGGTATCGAGAAAGTATAGAACTGAAAAGATTTTTAAACGGAAAAATAAGGGTAAATAATATTTTTTCTTCTTAAGTAGAGACAGGGAATTTGAATTTACCTCGAAACAGTTCTTGGTAAACCAAAAAGTTGCTAGACCGTGAAAAATCCTCCGTAACAGGTTATTGTAAAATTTCAATCCTAGTCAATTGAATCACACGTCTGATGTATGAGAAAAAAAAAAGAACCAAGTATTATAAGTCTATCTGCTTGCCGTCCTACACGCTCTGACCAGAAAAAGATGTATTGTTTTTTTCATTTGGAAAAAAATCGCAAGGGAACATTCGATCGACGAAATAGACACCACTGTGTCTCGTTCGTTGAACAGAGTCAATCATCAACTACTGCTTCAAAATCTACGATCGTGGGGGGGGGGGGGGGGGGAGAAGTTAAAATTCTATCATTCCTGCGAGTCAAAATGAGATACACCAGACATTGTGCAAAACGGCAACGTTCATGAAACAAGTGAGTTTATTAAGGCAGATAGAACTATCAATTTCCTTCTTTCACATTAACAGCTAGTGTAAAGGAAAACTTCTTTGAAGTAAAGAAATGATAAAGTTGTCATTAATTTGCTACCAAACCAGTGGTAACACATCTACGTAACTATAAAATAACCAATAATTTATATTGTTATAAACCTAGACTTTCACTCACGTGCCCCTGATCAAATTCAATTGTATCCCGACTGGGATACAATTGCGCAGTTGTTACCCGCGCGCAGAATACAACAGCGTGTTTTTGCCATATGATTCTTTAAGGGGAAGTCTAAATATACAACAAAGCACTTAATGTATGGTCCCTCGGGAAACAAGTTAGTTTTGTTTCCCTCGAGTCCTGACGTTTCCTTCGACTTTGTCTCGGGAAACACGAGGACTCACGGGAAAACAAAACTAACTGTTTCCCTCCTCGGGACCATACCTTAAGTGTATAGTGTAATTAGCAAACAGTAAAGCAAAACCAAGGTAACTATCTTTAACTAATATCATAACCGGTCAGGAAACAATTATAAACAATTAATTACACAAGAAATTATCACGGTAAATGCTAGTTTGGGCTGTATTATTTGAATGCATTTTTTTTTTATCAGTAGCAACGTGAATAGTTTAGCATAAGTGAAGTGAATGACTTCAACTTCTGAGAAAACAAAATGTAAAACTTATCAGAAAAGCCTCATCGTTAAATAGTATATTGTAAGGGCGTGATAGTGAACATATATATTTTTCGCCGTGAATGAATTCATACTTTGTCCTGCTGGAAGGAGAAGCTGAGACTATTTGAGTTCTCATCCTAGAGGAGCTGTTAGCGAGAAGTTTTAGCACAAAAATGCCCCATTCGCAAGAAGATTGGATTTGCATTGCTTTAATAGATGTTCTCAACCTCGTTCATGCTTTAACACACAAGGGAAAATTTAACGGCAATTAAATAACACAAGCTTTTTTAAAATTCCTCTGATACTTGTTTCCAACTCTTGAGTCTCAGAATGCCCCTATCGAACAAGAAAGACTTGTTTTATTCCTTGCCTTCACTTATCTACCATGGTAGTTAAAAATCATTCCGTTGATTTGATCATTTTTTCTTAATAATCCTTCTTTGGCATCAACGTCCATTTCCACGCTTGAATTTATTTTCATCTGTCTTCACTATTTCCTTGAGTTTCCAAACCTCTTCAGTTGATTGCACGAAGACTCCTTGCTGAACCAAACTTTACTTCTTAAATAAAGCTATTTTCGCTTCAACAAAAAAGACACATCGGGGTTTTCTTCGTGCGATATTCCCATAACCATTTTTATTGATTGGTTATTTCCACGTTTCACGGTGACTTCAACAAATCCTACGAGCAGTTTTTACTTTCCATTTCCAAACATTCTACCTTCGCTTTATTTTTTTTCGAAACGCAATGCAATGGCGTGCTCCGAAAAAGCCTCGGACTGTCAAGACTGTTGAGGGCAGCTTCTTCGGAATGAAATGTGTAATCTTCCCGGCAGACGCGACTCAAAAAAACTTGAGTACTGTTCGCTTAGTCCAAAAGGCTTCAGTTTAAAAATTACAACAACTCCTACGCGAAAAAAAACTTTCTCCTCTTCATCTGCTAACTGATATCTTTAAAACTAGCGGGCTAATTTTTTTCGATGTTGCCCTCATCACATAATCTTCAACTGAGCAGTGTGAATATCATAAACATACTGATATTTAAATAAACATAACACTTCCTTCGCGGACATAGCTAAATATAATTCTTATTCATTCTGTCAAATATTCATCTTTTATATCATTGTTTGCAGTAGATGTTTCCCATGGCTAGGTGTCACAAGTGTTTTCTTTTTTCACAGTCGTGGGGTTAAGGAGTAAGTGGCATCATTTGCCAGATCTTAGGAGAAATGCTTTCGTCGGTTGCCTTTGTTCTCAAGATGTGAAATGTGTATCAGCTTTACGTATCGCGTGAATAGTTTATTCATAAGAACAGTCCTGCAATTTGACGAAGAGTTTTCCTTCTTTTGACTGGAAAATGAGAACTGGATACTTATACTTTCCCTCTGTGCTGAAAGCTGGGTTGCCATGATTCTCAACATCCAAGGTCCTCGTCTGACTCCAATTATACCACCGTCCACTAAAAATATATGACGCGCTGCTGAACTGCGAGACCTTGCTCGTATGGCTATTTCACTCGCGGAAAATCGAAACCCATTTCATTTTATGAAAGAAAAAAAAAATTAATCCCTTCTTTGGTACATAACTTGAAAACAATACTATTTATTTCGAGCTTAAGAGCCACAGTATAAAAACACGCTTCTAACTGATTTTTTTCTTTTCTCCGAGCGCAAAACTTCTCCAAGGAGATGACAGCCCCAGGCGTCCAATATTCTTCCTCTTTTTCTCTTGTGAAAATCCATGGGAGCGTTGCTACCACAAAATCCTTGATAAATTAAGTCCAACTTTCGCCTGGTATTCGGAGTTTCTCTCAATCTTTCACATTTGTAACAGCTATTTTCTTTACCTCTGTTCGTAAACCCAGGCAAGCGCAAGGACCACGCTACGATGTTCCTCATCGGTAAGTCCAAATTTTTGTCTCCATTAAGATAATATTCGCCGGATTCGGAAAATTTCGTCAAATAAAGAAAAATTTCCATTTCCTTCTAACTGGTCACGTCACAGATTGCAAACTGAACCAGGCTTAACAGACGCTATCATTTCAATATTCCTAACTATCTAACCATCTCACCATCTCTTTTCTCTGTTCAAAATATCTTAATTTGCCTATTTTGGATTTAACAATAATTTCATTGATTCCCGAACAACGTTCACGAAGAGCCAAGTTACTCGTCATTCTTATACCATTGGTGTGGGTCTAATCCCTCTTCTGCATTCAGCATTAAGAATTCTCGTCGATCTGTTTAATCTGTTAAGTCTGGATGATTTCCACAGGCAGAACACCGAGATGCTGATCTTTTAGTCTTCAGTTGTCAAGGTTCAAGTATAGCAAAACCCTCCAGCAACATGTCCTTCTGTGTCCAATCTTGTGCATCACACCTTCATTCTGCTCCACTGAGATCATCCCTTGTAGTATTAAGCAAGAAGCCACGCACGTTTCAACACTGATATGAAACAACACAAACACTAACACATCACCCTCCTTTGACTAAGAAAGGACTGGAACACACCCACTGATGACGTCAATGGGGCGTCCCATACCGTCCAATCACATTAAAGGATCTGCCTGCTGGCTAAGGAACAGGCTTGAAAGAAGATAAATAGGCCAACATTTTCCCGAAGAAAAAAAGTGGCGAAAATATCAACGAAAACACGCAAAACAACATAAACGCACGCAGCTCAGGTTGAGAACTCTATCAGAAGATCATGCACTGGGTGTGCTACTCACAAAATATCAACCCTATACTCAAAATGGCTTTGAGTTGCACGATGTCAGCAAGCAATCGTCCACTTTTTTTTTTGGTTATGCGAAACAACAGCTCCTCTTGAGGGATGAGTAAGGGAGCTACTGCAAATCACAGCCTGGCTGTATTCATTAAAGTAATGGACGGAAAATTTGCAAGCAAGAATGAATACATTTGAAGAAAAATACGTCTTCCTTGGTACACGATGAACAACGGTTCTTGTTCCACTGTTCCGTTTCACTATGTCAAACAATGCAGCCCTTTAAAAACTACTTCTACAATTTCTTCACTGAAACTTTAACGAGGAGTTTCTCTTACTTGAGAGAAATAATATCTTGAAAAGACCAGATTCTCTTTGTACAAAAATTGTTCCAAAGAGCTGGGAAAAATCTGCCGAGAATCTTAACTGCAGACAAGGAAGGACTAATCATATTCTATCAAAAATAAATCGAGGAAATAAACCAATTTTAAATCTAAGCAATTTAAGGAACACCAATATAGGTGAAAGGTAAAACATGAAGCACAAAGTACATGGTAGACTACCTAAGTTTAACAAAAAATAAACCATCAAACTTATTAGCTCCTTCCAGGAAAGTGGATCTTCTATGTACAAGATCCGTATGTCTGTACCACGAGCTCATTTAAACAGAACTGACTGACTTAATTTGATATCTCTTAAACTACCCTTTGGCCGAAGTTTACGCATTCTACCAGTCAGTATCCACATTGTACAAAGCGAGATGAGCACAAGAACGATGCTTGGAGTTTTTGCAGCGCTCCCTGCATCTCCATCAAACTCTTACAATTTGATACCCACTCATTGGTCTAACCTAGGTCTACTGGCGAAGACTCATTGACTACCTTCAAAACGAGTGTCAAAAAGATATCAAAATTTTTCAGACAGTATCAATGGAAGTGCAAGTAACACTGTAAAGTACCACACTATATATAAAAAATCTGCAACAAAAAGAAGCATGAAAGAAACAGTAACAACAGCTTGACTACTCGTGAATAGAAACAAATTACCAATTTTGTTACCACCGGCTTATGGTCCAAGGAGTTCTCATTTGTTTGGCGTCTTGCTGAAATTAACAGCCAACTTGACTTTCGGAGCAGAGAACTTTCTAGGTTTTGCTCTCCTGTTCTCATCAGAAATCTTTCGCTGGACAGCAGGCTTTTCAACTTCTTCCTCTCCAAATGACGCGGCGAGATTTCTTGAAAATTCCGATTCTGGCTGACAGTCTGACAGGATATCAGCTTCCACTTCCGAGAGGAACAAAACCCCAGCCTTGCGAGGAGATGGACTCGCCTGCATCTGTGTTGCATTCCTTATACGTGCTGGTGATACAAAGGCAAAATCCAAATCTTTTAGATCCGTACCAGACGACGAGGACTTACCATTGGGAGAAAGCCTGTCGGAGAAGTTGGGCTGAGGTGACCTTGCACCGTTGTATTCTCCTGACAGTTCATTGGATTCTGCTAATAACTCAGTCAAGTCACCTTCCGCCACATTACCCAAGGTGTCAGAAATTCCTGCGTCATCCATGGCTTCTAACAGCACCTCCATGTCAAACTCAGTGAAGGATATCAGATCTCCAACAGGAGGTGGCTCAGGGATGGCAGGCTGCAGCTCCGGCTCTGGGAGAGTCTCGGGCACTGGTGCCATCAGCCAGTCATCGGTCACAGTCTGGTCTGGAAAGGTACCGGAGGCTTCACCATCAAGAATTATCAAATCTACGCAAAAATGAACATATAAACGTGGTAAGAAAACAAAGCGATGTCTACTTACGCAGCAACACTCTCACAGAGGGAGGTAAAGTAAATCCTCGAGCTGTGATAGTGGAGGGAGCTGTGGAAGTCAAATCTTCGATCGGCATGTCAGGTTTCAAACACTGACTGATTTTTTAAACTATGTGTTGGGCGTAAAGCGGTTTATCCTCGCCACAACTCTTATGATAACAAATATGGATAACTGCCAACTGGCAGAGATACCAATGATAGTCATCATAATTTTTGGGAGGAAGAATTAAGCGGGTTGCTTGCAGTTTACAAGGGAAAATCGGAATTCCGCGCACAAAGAAAAAAAATCCAAACAGTTTGCCAAACACTATTCCCCTTTCTTAAAATCCACGTACAGCTATGACATGTTTATGCCTGACATTTCCATCCGAATCCTTCGTGCACATGGTTCGTTCCCTACGGCAAATAAATGTTTCATCTGAAGTTATAAATTGGCTTTCTGTTAGGGAAACTATGAACTCACCCTCTTCCTCTTTGTCATCAATGATCACTACGACCTCATCCTCTGCAATTTTAACAAAGCGGAAAGCTAGATAAGCAGTTACTCTTGTTGTTTGCTTCTTTATTTTTTAGCTGGGTAAAATAAAGACTCTACATCCCGCTGGATTCGTTTGAAATCCTACCTTCCTCCACTGCAGCAGAGGGCGAGTCGCTTAATCTGCAGTCCTTCGTTCCAGCTTTCGTTTGCCCTGTATCTGTAACAAGTTTAAAAAAACCCCAGCTCAACATGGAATTTAACCAAAGAAACGTAAGTAGATACACACATAGCTTAAAGTTCCTCCTTCACTACAATGATTTGAGTGCTCTGAGGCTGCAACAACGTAAGGTCCAATACAACCCATCCAGTCTTCTTGTCACAGTTCCCATGTATGCACAGAGATTTTACAAAATTCAATGCCAGTGCCACAACACTGTAAAAAATAACAAAAAGAAAAGTAACTTCATCTTACTTCCAGGGCCAAGCAGACTCACGTTGTCCCCATCGACCAAGACAACCATCTTCTCTGCACCCTTGCCGCGTATTTCAGCCACATTGGACACTGCGTCTATCACTTCCGATATGCGACTAAAGCCGTAATCAGACGCTTTGCAGGGTTGACCGTACAACTGCTGGAAGTTTGGCGCAAAGCGGTTTAGAGAAACACATCCATTGAGATGTTTCAGAAGATCCCTTGTTTCGATAGCAAAAGTTTGAAGCAGCGTCAGGGACAGTTTGTCTCCTTTCGTATCGACCTGATGAAGAGGTAAAAGCCATGACTAAACAGGTCGCCGGCACTGATCTTTAATGTATCTCCAACCATTTAATTTTTCAGAGAACATAAGTAACCTAAACTCCCTCGAAGCCCTGAATATGGCTTAAAATTTCGCGTAGATCCTATGTCATTACATCGGATCTCACCGAGTAGGCACATGACTCGGTTTGTGGAGCATCGTCGCACAAGAATAAACAAGGTAATGGGTTTGCTTCACATTTGTACTCTAATTTTCCCGAGCACCTATAATTACTGTGACTGCAAGATCAAAGGCTCAACTTTTTCTTTATTTTAATAAAGATAGAACAAGGCATTAATATTTTGAGTACCTTAACTACGGGTGAAACTGCAAGTAACATATCTTCAAGTGACGCAAAACCAAAGTTCTGTACGCGCAGCTTGTGGTTACAAAGTTTCTCATAAGCAGTGACGAACTTGGACAAGGGAATACTTTTATCAGACTGCTCGGTTAACACATTAATAACACGACGTGAAAACACCTCCAGAAGATGTTCATGTTTAAGGCAAACTGCAGCCATGTTGCCGCTGCCTTGGATCTGCAGAAGCAAAGGTGAAATGGCACCGTTAGAATTGACGAGGCTTTATCCTGATATGGAGTATGTTTCTATGACACCAGGGCCTTCGTATGCAAGAAGCGAAATAACAAAGATTCGGCTAGGTAGTGGGAGAAAAGTTGAAATCTTTCAAATCTCTTTCTTTAATAAGACTGTCCTTCATGCAAAACCAAATATCGAAGAGACTGTTGATTCAATTATCAGCAAAGAATCTGAGAGCCATATCTGACCTCCAAAACATTTCCAAGTGCTTGTAGTAAGGAAGCCATGGTAGTGAAGCCCCAGTCCTTAGGTTTTAACATTTGCCCATACTCCCGCAAGAAGATATCAGCGAAAGCAAACTCCGCCACCCTACAGCCAGGATACTTCAGCAGTAAATTAGTGATTTTATCAGCGAGCGGTTGTAACTTGGGAGAAGTTTTATCTGCAAGGTATTAATAGCTCTACTTCAACCTGAGAGTAATTGTCGTGTTGTATCTAATGCTGAAACAAACGTGCTTTTAAAAGTCCTCTAGCTCATCCAAGAACACTGACCAAGAGATCGTAAAGTTTATAATCTCTTGCCACTGACCAAATAAGTACAGTCTAGCATACTTAACTGTACAGTGGCAGCCTATAGTCTACCATAACGGCCGTCTTCTACACTTCTACTCATATACGAACAAAAAAAACACACACATTTAAGATAGGGTCTGACAAAGAAATTTCAATTTTCCCTGTCTTGAAGGAAAATTCACTGAATTTTCTTTGAACTTTGAGAACCTGCTTCCCTCGTCCTTCATTTGCCTGAGGCACGAAGTCAAGTAATTGAATGGAAATAAGTCTAAAAAGCAATATCTCTCATCTCAGCCGGGAAAAAAAGAAAGGATTCCATCAGTTTTCACACATATAACAAACCTTTCGCTGGCAAAAGTGGAAGGAGTAAAATTCTATCATTCCCGGATCCTTTGACCTGAAATAAATTTATCGACATTTGAATCATCTTAATAGAAATACCACTTGATATCAATAAAACCGATTACTTATGATTATCGATATCACCAATGACACGCGACTCAAGTCTTGTAATCGATTTGTTATAGAGATCAATCATCATCATCTATTTAACATCTCCTTTTCTGATTGATTACCCTCCAGTGAAGTTAAAGAAACAAACATTTTCCACAGGTGCATTAGAAAATTATTACCGCTAAAAATGCAATTTAAAATACACCATCCAGTTAAGAAGGAACAAAATTGATAGCAAGAAGGAGAAATATTGATTTAACACCAAGTTCTTTTCAAAAACAAATTTATGAGAACTGCAATTTAGATCCTTGGCAAACGCAGTTTAAAAGACAACTTTATTTTCTGTTTCTATGTCAATCCATACAAACCTTTACTACTCCCTCCAAACTTCGAAGAAATTCCTCAAGTTTGGCTTGTCCCAGGGGAAATTTCCGGCTGTAATGTTTACGGAAAGTGGAAGCAAGGCGAGAAATCGGCAGAAATTTGCCATCCTGTTGTCCCAGCAGCTCTACCAAATCTCTTCGCAAAGACTGTACTGTGACTTTGGGAGGGAGGGTCAGGTATTTTTCCCCAGATATCTCTATGATCTAAGAGAAACCATGGAGAAGGTCAATGTAACTTAAGGCCGAGAGCTTCACACCAACAGTAAATAAATAGGTACAAACACTGACCTGTAGTGATGGTGAACTCTCCACAAAGTCTTCAAGACGCAGCGCACCATAATCTCCAATTTTGAGCAGTCGGCCAAAATGTTGATAATATCGAGCAAGAACTGTGGCAACAGGAAGCCTCTGATTTTCACAGCTGGACAATAATTCTTTGAGTTCTTTGACCAGAGTTTGCTTATCGCTCCGCTTCTCAGGTTTCGAGCTCTTGTCTGTAAAAAGGAATGTCCAAATGAAGTGACAAAAAAACACAAATTCAATGGAGAGAAACATTTGTTGTGGTAATGACTTTCAAACAAGTTTAAGTATATGAACTCTTACTAACTTACGAAACAAATCAAGGAAGAATATTCAGTCTAAAATAAAGGCATATACCTTTTTCCACTAAACAAATCAATCGCTGATCTCCAGTTCCTTGGATCTAATAGACAAATTAAAAAAATTACGTGTTTAATTGAGTTGAATTCAGGTCTGTTATCCCGAAAATTTGCGGATCTGGATTTCGAACTGTGGTAAGAACATGAGAGACGCATCCACAATCACAAATCGATATGATAACTTACATGTATCTATTAGTGAACAAATGTACTATAACAAAGGATCTGTTCGTTCAACAGTGAGCATCACTGACTGAGACTCCCAACAAACAAGTGATTTCAAAACTCCACCATGACTGCATAAGGATATCCAAAAATTGGTACAAGCTGCTAACAAACCTTAGCGACATTGGGCACAGCTTCAATCAAGTCTGTCAGCTTGGAGAAACCAAATGTTGCAATCTTGCATTTCTGGCCGAAGAATTTCATGTAAGTTGACACAAAGTTTCCCAAAGCAATTACGCCATCCGGTTGACTTTCCAAGAGCATTTTGACATTTTTCGCAAAGGCTTTGATTTTCAAGCGCTGTGAAAGGACAAGCCATCTTTCTTTGCCTTGTTGCGTAATCTGAAGCGCGTAAAAAAGTAGAAGAGTTGAAATGATATAGAATGACAACCTAATATGGCTTGAACTCATTAGCAAAAGTTGACCCATCTGGGTGAGGGTAGTCCTAGGATCTAATGTTGATGACAGTCACAGATCTCTCAACAAGCGATCGTAAGTCATCATCGGAGTCGCGTGATGAGTAAGATCTGTTTCGTGAAAGCTGATTGGTCTAACAGAGTAATTAAGTCATGTTTTGATGCTACTCTGGTTTACAGATTTAATGATTGTAACCGAAGAAGTTACATTCGGGTCTATCTTCGGCTACATTCATTAAATCTGTAAATCAGAGTAGCATCAAACCATGTCTGATTGTCCACCTGGTTGCCATGTGAACTTAAATATATTTTATTTGAGAGTAATTAAGTATTATTACCTGAGTTGATAACGTAAATTGGCCACCGTAAAGGGTTTAAAAGCGGACGTTTCGAGCGTTAGCCCTTCGTCGGAGCAATAGGTCTTGACTGGTCTAGTTTTAAATTCTTTATTTATCATTCTTGGAACCAAACAGTTTAAGAATTAAGGGAGTAAGTTTCTAAAGAAACCATGGTGCTGCGTCGGTAGGGGAGAGTAACTAGATAATTTGGTTTTATTAACTAAGTTGATAATGTAGACTGGCCACCGTAAAGAGTTTCTAGAGGTACGTTTTGAGCGTTAACCCTTAGTCAGAGCGAATGACAAAGGACTAACGCTCGAAACGTCAGCTTCAGAACTCTGTATGGTGGTCATTCTACATCATCGACTCAGTTGATAAAACCAGATTATCAAGTTTAAGAATTTGTTCGTCAATCTGGAAGAACTTCTTCTGAATAGATCCACGAATGCGATCTCGATAGTTTCTTTCATTTTCTCGTATTACTTTTTGAGATTTTATACAAACTACTGTCAGAGATCTGAAGGGCTGTGAGGGTTTGAATGGGAACTCTTGTATGAAAGAAATCGAGGTAAAGCATCGGAGTGCCAAATCCAAAGGTCTCAAGTTCGACTCCCCGAGCGGAATTCAGATTTCTCCTTTGTTTTACGCTCATGACAAGACCAACAACATATTTCCTCGCCTGCATCATATTCACTACAGAGTCTCACACCTAGTCAACCCTTTACACCCTAAATATGAGTATGCATACTCTCCAAACTGTTCTCTATACATTCCCAAGAGGATGACGAACAAGGAGAATTTGTTTAACAATCAAGAGCTTCTTTATTTGGTAAACATTGCCTTTCTTCTCGTGACCTTACTTTGTGATTTAGGAATGATAATGTAAGGAGAAATTAAATGCTAATCACTCTTAGGAGTCAAAGGGTCACTGTACAGTACAAATTTACTGACCTCCGCCACAGCTGGCAACGCTTCCAGGAGGGTAACGACCGAAGTGAACCCATAGACAGCTGGATCAAATGGCGTCTTCTTGTCAAACCACGATTGATACTCTGAGATAAGCGAGCTGAGAGGGAGTTTGAATTCCACCTGCATCTGTAATAACTCCTGCAGATCTTTACTGAATTCAAGAAGCTTGCTTACATTCCCGCCTGTTAGTGAAAAAAAAAAAAAAAAAAAAAAAAAAAACATCAAGCTTCTGTATGCTACACCATTTGATGTCATACATATAAGTGTATTTAAAATGTAGGTGGATGATGCAAAAAAATAAATAAATTTGGGCGACGTTTTCAAGTTGAAAGAGCTAACTTTAGGGTAAAAAGAGACAGAAGGGCTTGAATATATGGGTACTACAGATGACAAACAAAAACTACACACACACTCACAATACAGTAAAATGCATGTTCCGTACATGAAAATACTTGCAAGCGGATGTATAAACACCTTGCAAATTTAGACCATGAAAAAAACATTTCGCCATTTAAGTCAGAGAGCTTTATTAGCACATGAAAACACCTATGAAAAATTCAGAAGTGAAAAAAAAAACGCTCAAAAAGAAAACACAAGAAAAACAAACAAATAAACAAACCAAACCTAAAAAAAAAAATAATAATAACAACACTCCATACCATGTTTGAGAGCTTGTTTAGCCCATGACACCATCAAAGACTCTGTGACCTTGACATTTGGAACGCAGTTGAGAACTTCCATAAGTGCAGACCCCTCATCGTTAGACTCTATCTTCCTATCAAAGTTTAACCAATAGGATGCAGCAAAACTAACCAAAGGCAACGATCCTTCACTGGATTTAAGAAGAGTGTGGACATCGTTTGCAAACTGGTCAGGTTCTACAGACACTTTCACGCCGCCAATGGCCCGAGTAACCAGACTTATCGCTTGATTACCAGGTTTGCCAGTCAGAACAACCAGGTCGTGGATAACTCCTATGGAAGTCATATCAAACGCTCGGGAACACTTCTCATAGTAATCACTCAGGAATTTGTTTAAAGGTAGGAAGTGTAAAGGCGCCTCTTTCAGTATAGAAGTTACTTCACAGCGCAAGAAGCACAGTTCTTTCTCTTTGTCTGTGGCTATGTTGACAGCCACGCAGGTGTTAAAAATTTTCTTCTGATGAACTTTGCAGATGGCCAGGTGTGCGTCCGACAGTTTTGGAACTTTAACAAAAGCTCTCAAAGGTATGCCTTCTCCACTATGAAGAATAACAGACAATACCTGCAAGCAGAAACAAAGAATATTGTAAATCTGCAACACACGAAAGGCTGTCGATGTACACTAACTAGACAGCTTTTTTGATAAACATCACGTGCAAGTTGAAAACCTAACAGCATATTTAATTCTGAATGTTGTAATATGTTATCGTATCCATGCACAGTTTTACTGAGTGTAAAAGCATACAAAATGCTCTTCATAATGCAAATCATCCCACCTTACAGTGCTCTCGAAACACAGATGCCAACTTCTTTTTCAGTTCTTTCTTGCTAACATTTTCATCCAAATTAGTGACGAGTAAGTCTATTCCACCCCGCTGCTGGTCTAACACGGTAAAGTTATGCAAGCTGGCCAGCCACGATGCTGCAAGTTGTGGTGCCCCCATCATGGATGGGGCAAGAGGAGTGATTCCTGGAAAACTTGTCCCTTGTGTTGGAATATTCATGAAGTTTGGGTAAATAGAGTGTGGCCATATGCCGGTGTAGGAACCATTACTGAACATTGCCTGATGGCTGATAAACTGAGGGGCTGTAGAAGATGAAAGGGAAGGTCCTGGTTTGGCGTCATTTTCTTCTGTGCTGTCCCCTGAGTCAAGACTTTCATCTGTAGGTGTTCGGCTGGGATTGCTCTCTTTCTTTGTAGTATTCCTGGATGGGATTGTGTCTTCAGTGCCAAAAGTATCTAGCAAAGCACACCTGGAATCTTCTTTTCCTTTCTGTAAGGTGCTGGGTATAGACTTTGGAGACATACTAGTATCTCTGCCCTTGACAGAATCACCAGTAGCCTCCATTGGCTGTGTTTTCTTATTTTTCTGGGGGCTATATGAATGATGACTACTTGTGGAATATACCACTTGGATTTTGGAACCAAACACATCTTCTTTGTCCATTCTTCGCCTGGCCCTGAGAGAAAACAAAATTCACATTAACTATAATGCCAATACATGTAGGTGATAACAATTTCCTCATGCAAACACCAGTCCTGTGAATTTGAAAAACTGGAATAAGGAAACAGTTAGTGAGGTGAATTAGATCTTGGGTATACTAAATGACAGAACTAGGTTTCTTTGTTCCTGTATCTGGAGCTGAAACTGCATTAATGTCACAAAAATCAACATGATCTATGATGTAATTTACAATTTTAAGCAATAAAATCACTGTGACAATAACATACACTTTCTCACCTTGCAGCACTGGCAGGATTTGGAAATCTCAGAACTGAGGTACGCCCAGAAATGCTTACAACTTTCCCTCCACAATTATCAGAAAGTTTTTTCAGTCTGTTCCTGACTTGAGCAACATCTTTTCCCATTGGAAGATTGAGGACAAGAAGCTCTGAGGATAAGCCATTCTCCTCAGGAGCCTAAAAAATTTTCAAACAATAAATTGAAGTTTTGTCTTATCCAACTGAGCAATGTACAAATAATTAACTAATGTGCTAAAGTGTAGACCTTTTAAATCTTAACTTTAGGCCATTTCCCTTCAAAGTAACACATTTGTTTAGTCATTCACTGGTACAATGAAGTTGAATTGTAGTCAAGTTTCCCACTGTTACACATATCTCAAAATGTTTTTAGTTTCCTTTTACACAGAGTTTAAGTGGTTGAGTATCCACTCAATATTAAGCTACATGTACGGTACGAAAAGCAGCAAAAGGGTTACATGTAAGCAGTCAAAAGGTAATAAAAGTCTGTATCACACTACTCCTCCAGCATTTCATCAGGCTTTCCTGACATTTCACCAGTACCCACTTATACTCCTAGGCAGAAAGAGACACAGTGAGACTTAACCCTTCAACTCCCAGATCAAATTTGTAATTCTCCTTACTGTAAACTATGCAGTTCTTATGATGCTAGTTCAGAGAATTTAGTATTGGATCAAATAATTATCCCCAAATTAATATTTTTCTTAATTCTCTTCACTTATCTGGTTGATATTTTGTACTGATATTTTAAGGAGAAATTCTACCTTGGTCACTCCTGGAAGTTTAAGGGTTAACTGTGTTGCCCGATAACACAACACATTGACCTGGCCACATCTTGACTTGGAGTCCACTGCACTAACCAGAAGGGCACAGTATCTCCCACATGAATAAGTACTGTAGTATAATTCATTTCTGCTTCCAGATAATTATTGAACTCAAAGTTTTCAAAGTACTCAAAGTGAAAAACTGGCATCAAAAGTGAAAAGAAAAATTTGTTTACCTTTGGAGGGAATACAACAGGAAGATCAGCAGTGAAGTGATCAAATCTTCTTGCCTCATGAGCACATTCCAGCAAAGCACCCTGTGCTTGAGCATTGTGAAGACAAATCACATGGAGGTTGTGCCGATGACGTAAATCTGACAGCTCTGCAGCAAAATTGATGTCCCCAGACACCAAAATAACAGTGGCAGGGGGAGGGTATGATTGTGGAAATCTTCTCAAGCTTTGTCTTAACTTGTCATCAGCTGCATTCTTTGAAGTGGCATTGATGTGAACAACAGTAACCTAAATGTATAAAGAGGTCAGAAAAAAGGGTTTGAAGTTTTAGAAAAGACACTATTTGAACTCTAATTTTAGGTTAGTAGATGAATATGTTCCACAAAATTCTGTATACTAATGGAACAAAACACGTGTAAATGTATGATACACTGATCATTGCACAAAATCCTTGCTGTACTTAATATTGTTCATTATAATCCATCAACTAACACCTGATTTGTTTATGTAGGTCTCCTGACCAAATACATCCCAACCAAAAGTGAGGATATAATCACAAACATCTATTTTAGCCAGAATACCTTTGCCAAATTTTCAATTCAGCAAAATAAAACCCTGCGACACAAATATACATCAAATTACAGGGGAGAAGATTTTGCTGTTGCAGCAGAAGAGATACTGCATGTACTTAATATACTATTTCAGGCATGTACTAAAATTTTTTGATGAAATTCAAAAGATAATAAAGTCAAGTAGCATATCAGAGGTGTGTATCTTATCATATTATTAGTAAAGACTTCACTTCTGAATTACTTTGGCCACTTTTTCAAAGCAAGTCCTGGTTCTCATCCTTTCTTATGATTATAAATTTCCATTCACACACAAATTAAATTAATTCTCAAAAGAAGGGCTGAGCACCAGGCCTTGTTTTTAAAAAGAGGCCAAAGGTAATTAAAAAATGACCTATTTGATAATTATCTGCCTGCAAGTGGACACTTCAATCTTCAATTTACTGGTTTTATATTGAGTTATCTTTTGCACAAACAATTATTTTACAATCAGTTTTCCCCCTTTGCCTTCCCTTGTTTCCCTGTGTTTCTTCTTTGTTGGACATAGGGCTTGTAACTGGTCATCAGGATTTGTCAATTAAAGGCATAGGGTCCCCACACACATGCATATAGGACCTGATGTCAGACTTCTCTTGAAGCTCTTACAATTCACTCAGTAATTGTGTTAAATAGAGAAAATGCAACAAAGATAAAAATTTTCAGAACCGAAAATCTTACCTGAGCCTTGTTAAGTTCTTCAATTATTTCCTTCTTTTCCTTACTGATATCACAAACACACATGAACTCAACCTCACGCTTTCCAGTGAAAAATTCCTTCCTTATCTTCTGAACAACAGCAGACGCTGATTTGCCACGAGGAACTGGGCAATTTTCAATATCCCAGAAAACTCCAATAGGCTCAGCTTCTGGAACCATAGGGGCTTGACTAGGAGAGCCAGTTACAGAGTTCTTGAATGCCAAAGCTACAATGTAGAACACATCAAGATTGAAATAACCTTTTTGAGCAAGAAACACAATTAATTCTTCCAGCTTCTCTTATTGATTTTTTTTATTACAGGATCTCCAAAGAACCAGCCTTTAAATATTGGAAACAGGAAACCTTGTTTCCTTTAACTTTAATCTGTACTCATTTAATACATCAGCAACATGTGATTATTCCTTTGGAGGCTAACAATATCAATATGCTGGCAAGTACTCACATACTTTCCAAGTAATCATAAAAAAAATATAAAATTTAGTCGAAACAAGCATGAAAATGTGTCAGCCAAGCAGTAACAATTTAAAACTAACAATTCAATATAAGTTACTACTAAATACATGTAAAATAAACAATAAATTAAAAGATTAAAAAGAAATTACAATTCATCACTCATTATAGGACTTTTACACAAGAGGTCATTCATTAGTTGGATTCAACCAGTCAAAAATACTTAAATCAATGTAAAAAAATCACAGCTAAATAGGACAACACATGGAATTGAATAAATTTTACTCACAGTCTGCATCATTGAGGAGTCCTCGAACAGATGGTGAATTAGGACATTTGTGGCCACCAATACCAGCCGAATCAACAGACAAGTCAAAATCACTCAAAGAATCACCAGAGTTTTCATAGCTTATCCCACAAGAAGAACAAACACAAAATGGCCCTTTAACTTGGTTGGTTAACCCAACAGTTGCATGACTTCTGGAACAATCGCAAAATTTTTTTGCACAAGCTGCATGACCACTTGGTATTGATGTGCTAGGATTCTTACACAAGTGTTCAGGTTTGATGAGATTCTGTGGTGAAGCATTTGTAAACATTACTGGGCTGTTCCTCTTAAATTGAAAACTTGAGGACTGGTGAAAATTCAAATTGGAGGAAGGATATCTATGTACATGGTGACCAGATAAGGGCTCTGTTGTGGCATTTAGGCAGGAATGTTGTTGCCTTTCTTGTTCACTAAAGAAAATGGCCTTGCACTGAAACGTAAGGCAAGAAACAAAGAGAATTAAGCTTCAAGTCAAAATCTGTAAATACAAATTCACCAATCAAAGCAGCCACATTACAATGGAACAAACAAAAAGGATTCCTCCAAAATATTGCATTTTGTTCTTGAAATGTTGTTAACACGATTGATGACTTAATTGATGCTATACCTGGGAGCAAGATGACATCAGTGAAAACTTTTTTTCACGTCCTCTGTTGATGTGTTCTTGTAAAGCTTCTTGTTCCATGAAGTGAGTGTTACATTCATCAAAGCCACATTCACCAGTACATTTAAATGCATTATGGGATGGACAGCGGGCTGGTACTACTTTAAATAAGTGATCTATTAAAAAATTAGCAGCTATGAAAAATCCATCAATCAATCATCAAGTTCGGTTGAAGCCAATAAGAGCCTCAATCTGTACATCTATCACTACATATATATACAATTACAAGGTGCTTGGATAGTCTCGTACCAAATCTTTAGCAGCTTGGCTTTTAAGGAGAGCTACAGAAATCCAATTTTTTTTTTTGTATTTCTGTGATAAAGAGACATTTCAAGGTTCTCCCAAAGAGCAATTACCAGCCTTCTTATCATCTCCATTTTATAACTTAGGTTGTATTCACTTTCCCCTAATTTGACTTTCTGACACACACTTTGGTAATCTACCGGCGCACAACGTGACGTGGTTGTGTGACTCTGTTGTGTTGCATAATATAAATGATAGTGTGGTTACCGTAACCTCTACTTTACACCATCAACCCATACAAAGAGAGAATACGACCTCTCCATCATACCTGATTGTTTTTTGATGAGTTTAGGATGTCGTTTCGAGCAAAACACTTCTGTACACTGTTTTTGCGTCCACTTGTCGCACAAAACGTCAGTTTTCCGGGCCGCAGTACAATGACGGAAGGGACACTGAATAGCGAAAGTAACATTCTACGTAATTAAATCTAAAAATCCAATAACATCATCAACAATTAATGTGAGTGCGAAATAAAAATCAAAGGAAATACGTTAAAAGGAAAAATTATTTTGATTTGACGTTTATGTAATTGGGGTCAGATTATGTTTACCGGTAAACTTGCCGGAAAATTTGGCAGGGCTCACCTCTCCTGATTTCGGAGAACACCGACGGCCTTCCATGAAGAATACGCAGTCGGTCAGACCTCTGAAGTCCTTTTTATCTAAATTTAGAGCTTCTTCAGAAACAGTATCTGTACATCTTCTCGTCGCTAAAAGTTCCCTGGGCCCTTTCGTTTTAACCGTCTCGCCCAAAATCTCAAATCCATTCATCTTTCTGGCTGCAAGTTCGGCGACCTCTTGCGATAAGAAATTGACGAAACCACACTGTTTAGACCTACCAGAAACATCCCTAAGTATCACTGTATTTTTTAAAGGGCCAAATTTTTGAAATAAGTCGTACAGCACATTTTCGTTCACATTCACAGGAAGTCCACCGACCCAGACAGAACAATCAGCCATATTTACGCCATCTTCCCACCCGACCTCAAAGGAATCTGGGAAATATCCCTGACAGACTATCCCAGAGAGCTAGTCGAGTAATCTTCCTTTCCCGTCTGTCTGACGCACGCGCAAGCTTGAAATAGATCTCCTGGGTTGAACTGATCTTAACATCAGGTAATTTAGTGTTAACAACTGGGTTGAAAACGTAAATTGGCCACCGTAAAGGGTAAAAAAGCTGACGTTTCGAGCGTTAGCCCTTCGTCAATTGCTCTGACGAAGAGCTGACGTTCGAAACGTCAGCTTTTTTACCCTTTACGGTGGCCAATTTACGTTTTCAACCCAGTTGTTAACACTAAATTACCTGCTATACTCTCCCACCGACGCAGCACCACAGTTTCTTTAGAAACTTACCCCTTTATTCATTGATCTTAACATCAACTTGATTTCCCGCAGCTTACGAGTAGAAAACCTATTTTCTGGGAATATTTGATAGTGGGATCCAGGAAACAAATAATTTTTGTTATAGCCACATAGCTCAATTAATTAGCTGAGAAAGATATCAAGACAAGTACATTTTGAATGCTTCATATTGAGAAGTAATTCACCATCTTTTTGTTTTTTTTCTTTTTTTACATTGGTGTCAGAAAAAAAACTGATTGGTGAAAACTGGATCTCCCACATGAAACATACTTTTATTAGGGTTGTAAACATTGTAGCAGAGTTGATCTTCCAACAATCTTCCCCCTGATTAAGATACCTGTTTATGAATACCCAAACCACAAGATCCTAATGAAAATGCCTGCAAAGCCTCTGACTCTTCATCAGTCATCTGAAATAACTCTTAGTAGGAGAGCAGAGCAGGCATCACATCACACTTCACTCTGCATTATGCTCCTGTGCCTTACACCATTTCCAGTGATATGATTGAGATTAAGGGAAAGCAATGGGGGTGTGGTTGGGGATTGAAGTAACCAGTGATGAAGAAGCAACTCATCCAGGGGAAACAACTATCTCTGAGATTAGAAAAAGTTGAAGGTTAACATCCACGCCTTTTCAGTTAATATTGTCTTCTTTAATAGTGAACATGCTACATTATATGGATAACTATAATATGTACAACTCAGAAGAAAAGCAAGCTGAAGAGTGGAAAAGTGAATTTTTCCAGGCCATTCAACAGCCTAAAGAAATTGTTTAAGCTAAACCTAAATAAGCAAAGCACAAAGACTTGTCACTCTACTGAACTAAACTCTGAAAGTCAGTTGTTTGAAAAAAAAGACTAAAAAATCTGAGGGAGTAAGAAAATAATTCATATTGTGATGATGACAAGTTCAAACTTTATCACATTAAGCTACAAACTGACCATACATGTGTAATTGTAGTTTAAAATTATGAAAAATGTTTGGAGAATAGAAAGCAAGGCAACAATTTCTTGCTTATCGAATACAATATTAGCTCCTGACACAGAGATTCTCTTAACTTGTCACACCACCCATCCAAAAGGCTATAAAGTATCTCTTGAATCCAGCAAATATTTTGCAAACAATGATTCAGTGAGTCATTCATAATTCACTGAATCAAGGTTACAAGGTGACCCAAGAGATCATCTGCAAAGGAGGCCTCTAAGATACTCTATCAATCCACAGTGATACTAAACAGTCAGGTAAACATCATAAGATTAAACAAGCTTTTCCATTTCACTTTGGACATGTTCAGCCAGCTCCAAGAATTCTTTTGTCTTGAGTTCAATGATCTTTTGCTGTAAAGTTAATAAGGAAAAGTTAAATTTAAAAGCTTTTCCTGCTATACATGTACAATTGAGGAACAGGTCTTCATTTCACCCACTTGCACAGCATTTGTGATTCATATGTATAAATGTGCACCTTTCAAAATGAGAATTATAACTCTGTTATTATTGATAGGCATTACAGGTTTTTTTTAATAACATAATGTGATTATTGGGGTTGGTTTAAGCTCTGTGTATTATGCATCTAGAATCCTTGGGTGTATTAACCCTGTTCTACAATGCCTTTGATAGATCTACTCAGTGCTATGAAAGATTAGAAACTACAAAATAAATAAAGGGGGTTAGGATAAGTTTCTCAAGAAACTGTGGCACAACTTTGGTGGGGTTTTTACTGGATAAATTGGTTCAATCAACTGAGTTATAAATGTAAATGAGCCACCGTATACCATTTCTAGAGCTGACATTTTAGACATTAGCCCTGTGCCAGAGTGAGGGAGGAAGTGCTAAAGCTTGAAAAATCAACTTTAGAATCTCCATGTGATGGCCAATTTTACAACTTAGTTAATAAAACCAAATTATCCAAAATCAAGACTCTGTTAGCCAGAAGATGAATACTTACTAAATTAATTTGGTGAGGGACCACCTCATATTTAGAGATCTTACATACATCTATCAACAAATTGCAAATTAAGTAAGAAAAATATATTAAGATGAAAATTTTTTTCAAATAATTACCATTACGTTCATTTGCCTTTTTGTTTCCAATTCTAAAAATTCTTGCACTGTCCAGTCTTCCTCTTTTTTGTTCAACAACAAAAATTCACATTTCGGAGAATGCTTTCTGTGTTCCTCACTGGAATGGAAATCATTGTTTTTCAAAAAGGGAAGTAATATACAGAAAGAAATCTTAACTTCGGCTGTCAAATAATTAGGAGCATGATTATCAATGAGAAAATGATGAAAATACAAATGAACTAAGCTTAACATGTGAAACGCGTTTCAGAATTTCAGTACCTTAATTTCAAATTAAAATAATTTTTAAGGAACTGTTTATTTTTGGTCTTTAAGTGACACAACAATTATCCTTTCAACTTCGTTTACAAAATTAAAACTCGGTATGATAATATATTAACCTCATCCTTTAGCCGATAACCAACAACTGAACATGTAAGCTGCCTGATATGCATGTCTGATATTCAAATTATAGTCGAGCTTACGTACAATGGATTGTCCTCAGGCTCCCATCCTTCGAGTTCTTTGAGACAAACAAAGCAACGTGCAACATCAACAGAATCATTCGCGCTGTGGAAGAAGCCTGCTTCAGCCATCTGAGAACAGTACAAACGAAGTAATTAATGAGTTTACTGACGTAAAGGTTTGTTTTCTGCAGTGACCTCCTTACCTTCATCGCAGTACAACAAGATCCCGTTTCTTCCGTAAAGGGCCAGTCTTTGAAGGTCTCCAGGCGATTTTTGAATCTATTCATGTTAAAATCATAAGTTAACTCGGCCATGATTTACAATGGTACACTCTCAAAAGTTTTACACTTTTTGAAAAATGGCGGTTTTAGCGGCAACATCTCGCCCCAGTTCTTCCTCACTTCATTACCCAGCCTCTCACGTTAAATTACATCACTCGGTTACAATTACGCCATGGCGAGGGAAAGTATTATTAAATGAGAGAGAATTTTAAGAGTAAATCCACTTCCTTGAGATAACAGCATGGCTCAAATTGTAAGTTACTGGTCATTCTGAAGTCAGGAATCTCCCTGATAAATGGGTAGGAAATATCAAGCCTTCGTTTCGTTTCTTTTTCTTTAGATTGTACGCGTGCAATCCCGCGAAGGGACTTCAAGGATAAAATGTTCGCAAACCGAAACTATCTCGTCATTCTTAACTAAGGTAAGATTTATTTAACTTGAAATTTGAGGATAGCCTATTGTGAGCTTATCATATAGTTTCAAGTGCCCGACGTCTGGATTTCTATGTACTTTTCAAACTTGATGTATACTCAGTCAATCTATCTGAGCTTAAATTATGGTAGAAAAGTTTATTTGTATGAGGCCGGCCGGTCTCGTTAAGTTGAATGGGGTTACTGATCGAATAATTCTTATTTTACTTAGTTAAAACATGTTCTTGGAAATCTGCTGTTAAAATGCTATTTGACAGTTTCGTTATCTTGTGGGTCTTTCGATTTCATAGCTATAGTGGGAGGATGATGACGCACCATCAGTAACATTTTACATAATATGTACTTTGTACAAAATGTTGCCTTGTCCTTTTGCTGGCAGATACATTTTCTCATACTTTGCTCGGCAGTCGTGGCCATTCAGTACATTTTAACTCTTTCCCTTCCAAGATCAGAAAATCTGTTCTCACAGTGACTAGTGACTTATTTGTGAGCAGTTTCTGAGAATTCTTTTGTGATTCAGACAACATTTCTTAACTTTCAGTTTATTTTGATTAAATTTGAGTTTGAGAGAATTTATTGTGATGGTAAGGGAGGTTTATATTATTTCGATACTTAATGTTCATGATTTTGTATATTTTAGATTGTAGAGGAGCTTTCCCTTCCAAGAAGAGGATGGACACTATTTCTCAATAGAAACAAAACTGGAGAAATAAAGAACTCTACAAGAAAAACTTTAGCTTCACTTGGAATAAGGTATGTCAGTCCTACATATTACTTTAGTGTTTGATTGGATATGATTAGAAGTTAAAATTGTGTAATGGAACATCTTTCAACCAATCAAATACTATCATATTATGTTTATATGAAAGATTAATCTTTTAACCCTTAAGAGTGAGTGGCATCTAATGTCTTCTTAGAATTTGAAATTAGAATATTAAGAAATGCCCCTTTCCACTTAAGACTGTTAAAAAAAAGTGATGCTGATGGCAAGTTGAACATAATGAACCAAGAGCTCAAACAAGGGCTGTCAAATTGTACACATTGCAATCCCTGATGGTTATGCCCTTGCGTTGACCCTTAGGAGTAACTAGCATCCTATTTCTCCTTACAATATCACCCCTAAATCATGCGGTAAGGTCATGAGAATAAAGAAAGTTATTAGCAGCAAAAGAAGCTGTTGATTTTTACACAAATTCTCCTTGTCAGCACCTTAGGGAATATATAGGGAACAGTATGGAGACTAGCTTTACTGATGTTAGGGTGTAAAGGGTTAGGACCCAATGTATTGTGGTGATAATTTTGATGCAGGTTTGTAACCTGAAGTTTGAAGAATTGCTAATCTATGGAGCTCACAAAGGAAAAGACATAGTACAGGAGATGAATGTCTTGGATACCACAAACAGATATGCTCCAAATCACATGGAGAAATTTTGCTCTACTTTGTTGTCCTGTGTAATTAGGAAGATATCCTAGCTTATCAGCTAATTAAAAATCAATGTGTGGCATTTGTTGTGCTTTCTTCTAGGCATGGAGATATGCTTTTCTTGTCTCGTGAAGCTTCACCAGTTGATAATGATATGTCAGGAGTAAATTCTGTTCCTTTGACATCTGCTGCAAACCTAGCAACCTTGGCATCATCCAATAGCATCAAAGAGGATGAAATTGATGTTTTTCTTTCCAAGCAAGATGGTCTGATTCACAGAGATCGAGACCCACAACTGTAAGTGCAAAGCAGTGAGAGCCCTAGAAAGAAATGAAAAACTGAAAAAAAATTGCTGTCATAATTTGTGAAGAAACAATAGTTCGTAGCACTGTAACCTTAATGATGGAAAGAATGATAACACAATTCATTGCACAAACATCTCATTCATTCTATTCATGTACTTGACAATACAGACTTGAGATAATTCAGTTTTTTTCCCATATTTTGCTTCTAGAATTATTCAAAAGTTCAAACATATCATGACAATATAATTTCATAACATTGGTTTTATCCATGGCAAAGTTTCACTATCATAAATGTGCAAGTTATCAGCCATACAGGGTTCTGCAGGAAGAATTATTTCATTATTTAGGACTTGAAAGCTATAAACTGGGTTAAAATATTTATCATGTGGTTTTGCAGATCATCCCTCACTGTATGGATTATTTATTTGATATTACTGTTTTAAGTGAAATAAGTTAACTTGGATCCTACATTGTTCAGGTGTCATCATAACCCCAACAGCAAATGCATCCATTGTGTACCACTAGAGGTAAGAGGGGCTACATGATTGTATAGAACTTTCTGTTTTTCACTGGAGAGTAATATCTATATTTTGCATTTATTAAGGCTAAAACATTCTAATTATGGGATAAGTCGCTGCAACTTGTCTCTGGAACAGACTTGCTCCATGATTATTGCCTTAAAACGAGTTGCTGCAATTACTACTTTGCTAGAACATGTCACAGTCACAATTCATGTTGAGTGACATAGAAACATTTTGTGAAGATCCTTGTCACTGTGATCATAGTGAAAAGTTTAGTTCCAGTTTCAAGGTTAGGGTTAGATTACATAATCTTACTGACATCAGTCCAAGAAGCTACATGTATTTGAAGCCTTATATTCAAATTTTAGTTCCCCCATCAAGGTGGACCTTGAATGGTTTACACAAGCTTCACCCTGGGTAGAGCAGCTACATGCTTAATCATTCTTGTGAACTAGAAAATAGAACTATATTTTTTGTAACTTTACAAAAAACTTTGCTTCTTTGATTACTGAATATTATTTTTTATTATATGGCCTCAAAGTTCACTTAAAAAATGTTATTGAATATCTGACCACTTCATTAGACAAAGTAACATCAGGGCCTTGTTGTTACATTTTTTTTTTTAGCCATATGATGAAGAGTATTTAAAGAATCACAAACCTCCTATCAAGCATATGTCTTTCCATGCATTCCTCAAAAAGATGGGTGGAGGCACAGACAGGTGAGCTTTAAACAACTTAGGTTAAAGAGTGTGGGCAGAGGTTGGTCATGAGATTGGGCTGACTGTTTTGTCATGTACCCTTGATGTTATACTTCCTATCAGTTTATCAGAAGAGATGTTCTGTATTTCAGAGGCAAGTTTACAGTACTGGAGGATACTAGCTGCAGGATCAAACCAGGATGCACAGAGCATCCACCCTGGCCTGGTGGAATTTGTACAAAGTGTCAGCCTGGTGCTATTACACTAAAGAGACAAGTGAGTCTGTTTGTTGATGGGCTGTCATGGACTACAATGAAAGCTCCCATTGGTATTTGCAGGAGCAGAGATCCTAACATATCACATGCTTGACAAAAACCTTGATAGCTTCAAAACTTACTCTTCACAGTCAGAACTTCCAGGGCAGCTACCCATCCATTTTTTACCCTGTGTCCACTAGCAAGGGTCACTTTCATCAGATGACTGATCCAGTTTCCTTCATTTTTCTTGACGAACAAATCTTGACTTTCTCTCAGCACCAAAGCAGCTTTGTTGTAATTTGTAGAGCAATGTTATTTTCTTTACTTTTTTTCAGGTTTACAGACACGTGGACAACATCCTTTTTGAAAATCCCTTTATCGTGGAACCATTTTTAAACTACTGGAGAAAGACCGGAAATCAGGCAAGCAATCACTTCAGATCTTAATGTTGTAAATCTGTATGGAAGGCAAAACTACTTTCAGCTTGGGTGGGGAAGGTGCATATTTTTGGTGCTATCCCGCTCCCCACTCCCATACCTACGGGAATCTTGTCCTCTCCGTAGATTGTCATCTTTTGGCCCAGCGATATGACTAACAAACATACAAACATGACGATCACTTAGGTGCGTTTAGAAATGTTTCATTCTAGCGAGTGTGATACGAAAGAAAAATTCTAATAGCCCCGTGAGGAAAATTGAGATGTGCCATACTCGTTCACAGATTTGTCGAGAGTAAATGTAAAGCGGTTGCAAAACCAAGGATGACGAAAGTCTCTGCCTCCAAAATTATTTCTGTGGCGGAACACTGAACAGTCCCAGAGATTGCCTGTTACAACTCCTTTGCCATTTTCCGTTTTTAGAGGCTGGGATTCCTGTATGGCCGTTATGAGCTCCACAAGGATGTACCCCTGGGAATACGAGCTTCAGTGGCTGCCATTTACGAACCCCCACAGGTAAAAATATCTTTAGTAATCTGCTTCCTTTTTCTAAAGACCACCACCCATTTCACCTGCCAAACCATAGTTAATAGAGTAGAATGGTTAAGAAACCTCGCAGATTTCATAGTTATGCGTTTAAAATTTTCATAGTGGTTTTGCTTTTAGCATTTTTCTTCAGCAATGTTATTGCCAAAGAAAAAAAATGGTTTTTTGATGTAATTAATCAAACGTTTATGGTGAAGAATAGTAAAACTCGGCACAATAACTCCTGGCCCCTTTAAACATTAGTTCTCTCTTCCCTTGATAAAAGTTTGAGTAGCACGGGAATAATCCTTCAGAATGATACAACGGGGCGTGAACGTTGCAGTTCTTTGATAATAGTCAGGAATTATTGTTGATGGAGTCTCTGTACATGTGAAGTGTAAAAACAGACATTGATCTTTACAACACCATCTTAATTGATCTTTGGTGCATTTTTGTTAAGTTGTGTGACAACCACCAG